ACGCATGTTACGTGCACTTTATATTAAAAGTTTAATAATAAAAAGGCTATTTTGTAATCTTCTCAAGTCTTTGTCGTTAACTTCAGACGCAGCAATAATTCACTCCAAGTCTGTTAGGAGCTTTGCCCAGTTTATGCTACAAAAGAAAAGGAAACTCTATACTGTGGTTATAAATCACTGGTATAGATGAACCTGGGAAAACCCTCTTCCTCTAAATATGATCTTGGGAATGATAGTACCTGGGGAAAGAGATGTCAAATAAAATCTTGTTCTGAAAGTAATATATTCTAGTTATTGGATAAACTATGCATATTCTTATTGTAATATATGTAAGTTTAATGTGTGCTTGAACTAATACAAGATACAAGAATATACACTTTGTAGAATACATATACACTTAAATGAACACAAATACTTTTCTTTACACCATCACATAAAATATGAAAACACAAATGATCACATCTTTAGAATTCTAACTCTTGTCTTTACCAAGTTCCAAAAGAAAAATTCTTTAAAAAATACTCAGTATTGCCATTTATTTGCAGATGAGTTAGTTGAATGCTCTATTATTCACACACACGAGTCAAAATAGGACTTGAGCACGAAAAGCTTCTTTGACATTTTTTGAAAAAACAATTATAAGATTTTAATAGAGATTAGCTTCTATGTTTCCTATTCTGTAGTGAGTTTTCCTCCAAATTCATTTCTGTTGGAAATTCTGAATTTATTAATTTTATCTTGAAAAATGATCCCAAATATGCTCAATAGAATTAAAGTCTGAACTATGCTCAAGCATTTTGATTACATATTGTTGTGTGTGTACGGGTTCGTAATATATTGAATGCATACAGGTCCGATGATAGGTTAATAAAATTTATTTTATCAAAATAAACACTTCAAAGTTCTGAAATTTTATACAGAAATACTCATACAGGTGTTCACAGTATCACAGAATACAATCAATAGTAACATTTCAAATTATTAAAAACGTAAACACAACACAATGTAAAGCGCATCTAAACTGAAAGGTAACCCGGAGATATCTCAGTTCACGCTGAACTAACAATTCGCAATAATAACAACAACAACTAAGAGCAGATGCTCTCTCTCCCGCCTTATATAGGTTTCAACCGGCCGCCGAGATATTTCTAGTACTTTCTGTTTCTCGAAATTACTGGAAAGCAATATGAGGGTCGAGTTTCAACTAATATAGTGATCAATTATTTATTCGATCGCAATACCTATTACGGTAATGCAGAGACAAAAACCATAATAAAAGTTTGGCTACTTTTGGCGAACCCTCCCCAAGTTTGGCGATAAAATAAGTCGCCAAACCTGTTGTCATCTTGGCGGTATCTCGCCAAATTACCGAGATACCAATTTTCTCAATGTTAAATGGACTTGCCCCTGTATTCTTGCTTTCCCCGTATAGCTCGTCTCTTTAGATTTTTCATGTTATATTACGCAGCAAAATACAACAATTTGACAAATGACTGCATCAAAGTCATCTGTCTATGTACAAAATTCGTTACAATATGAAAAACTAAATAAAGTCCATACTTTGTAAATATCGGAATTATGTTTCGGATCATCGTCTTTAATGTGAGAATGTGTAAATTTTTTGTGTGCTTTTTGTCAGATTTCGTTTTAAAATATTTAGATACATAAATTCGTTAATTTTGCCATAAAACTGTAAGTTAAGTTTTAACGCCACAAGCACTCACATAGCTCAAGACCATCTGGCTACCTTCAGACGATACCTGAAGCAGTAAGATTCTTCATGTAAAATCCAGTATTGAGCTTTTGCCGCACTATTTGCTTTTTATCACTTCCAAAACATTAAATTTATTTTCATCTAAAAACATGTAAGCGAAATCCAAAAAATTTGAGGCTTTTTAATACAGGTCTTCGTGAAATGTAGTCACGCCCTTCTACTCGTTTTATTACGTAATGGTTTTCTTCGAACTATTCATAAAAGTTACATTTTCTTAAAACATTTCTAACAGTTTCTGCATTACTTACTAATATTCGCTGGGATTCCAAAGTCAATCTTTATTCACTTCTGATTAGTTTTAGAATTATAAACATTTTAGAAAATTTCTAACGATTCGTTTTCCTTCACGTTCAACGAACCTCCTTAGATTCTTTGTTTGTGGTCTGTTTTCAAACAGATTTATCGTAAGGTATCTCGAAATTATATTGAACAGTAGATTTTATTTAAAATTCAAATACTTAGCTATTTCCTTCTCAGATTTTTCCTCAATCCAATTATAAGTTTTCTCACTTCAAACCAAAATCTCAGAATTTTTCAACGCATTTAACCAAAGTAGCTCTTCGACTGTTAAACCATATCTTTTCCACGTTTAAAGTCTTTCTTTAAGTTGTTTTACAAGAAAGGCTGCTAGAATTGGCTCTTTTTAACACTTGTACCTGAATACCTCAATCGTACTTTTCCAACCTGAATTTCGTATTTGAAGATAATGTAATTAATATATTTTAGTATTTCACTAGTGTTATTTAATTTTATTCATCATTATAGATTTAACATAGTATTTAGACACAGAAAGGACATTTTGGAATAATAATCGAATTTTTGTCACTAAATCTTTTAAAGTTACCCATGGCACAGTACCTTTTGGAGTTATCATATATATGACAGTAATGCTGCTTCTTTGAGACCTAAATCCCTCTGATGCCTAATGTCCCTTCCTTGAATAATTCGAAAGCTCTCAAAAGAATGATACTTTTCTCTTGGAGAACATAAACCTTGTAAGAACCTCCTCTAAAATCTCGAGAACTTCCAGAAGCTTTAACTCCCACTATGTGTTTGGTAATGCCATATAAAGAAACTAACTCTAAAGAACCATAAATTATTTCACAATAAAAAAAGCATTTATATGTCAATAAGCTTTAAAATTGAGAAAGGCGAAACAAGTAGTCTCTATAGGCTCGTAATTTAAGCAATATCAGGAAAGACTTGAGATAACAAAGAAATCATGACTTTACTTCCAGCAAATACAAACGGAAAAGAAAGGAAAGGAAAAGTCGGATCTTAATTGACTGTCTATAATTTAATTCCTATGAAAGCCCTAACAATTCTTTCTCACTTAAAGTCGTAACCCAAACAAAACGAGTACAAGTAAAATTAAACTTCAAATACGTATACAATGCTGAATATAATACAAAATATAAAAATAAATTATATATGTACGAAAACCTAACTAACCATTTATATTGATATTACATAAATATACTTATGGTAATTAACATTGCATATTAAAAATATTTTTCTTTGATATTTTATATTTTGTTCTATATTTGTTCCATTTATATATACCTATACATAGATATATATAATTTAAGGATTCCATATTAACTACTACATATAAAACCAAAAGGTTCATCAATAATGTATTTTTCAGTATTATTAACTTCATTCTGAAGAATTTTCTGCAGTCTAGTTTGCGTTATTTTATTCATAAGTCTTAAGTAAAAACAATTTAATGTTTATATGGCATTAGAAAATTAACCGAAAAGCAGCGACCACAATGTAATTGAAAAACAGTCCTTAGACGTGAAAAGGGTGAAATCCATTTGGATTAAGACTATTTTCTCAGATACTCAGATACTTTGCATACATGTAACATAGCATTCAAAATGCAAAACTCAATATTTACTACAAATTCATTCATGTAACAAAATATCTGTCTTCAAATATCTACTCCTGATCGTTCAATAATACATTTTCATTGTACAAAATTGCATTCATTCCAAGAATTCAATTTGTATTTTCCTCTGCATAAAACTGAATGCAGAGAAGTCAGATGTTTAAACGACCCCTACATTTTCTCACGACCCCGAGCAGGATTTTCTCCTTTTCAGCTTCCCCCGTGAAAAAAGTTGTGAATTTACGACTTGACCGCATGTAGGCAGCATTCTTTTATCTTTGGCCAAAGCCGAAGCCGCAAATTATGTGTATGAAGTACATTTGGCGAACAAACGCAGATTTCATCGCAGATCCATTAATTCAATAGAAGAAATTGTGACAAACATCAGGTTTAACAAAACAAGGTTTTTATTAGAGAACTTCCTTTTCTCATGGGAACATACTCCAGCGTCCACTACAAAGGCCGAAAAGGAATTAAAGAAAAGGCTTGTTAAGGACAACCCCCGTTGGGTAGTCTCCGTGGACATAGTTGGTAAATGTAAAGAAAAAAAAGGGCTTTTGTGTAAGAAATGCCGAAGAAGTAAGTCGCATAATGCGACGAGAAAGCTGATATCGTTCCCGTTTTGTTATTGTCTATGATTTTCCTTTTTATTTAATCAAGAAAACATGCGTTAAGTTTCAAAATAAATATTAAGAAAGACAACGATCTCTGGTTTTCCCTCACGAAAGTTCAGCGCGTTATAGGATTCCGCATTATAACACTGGCCGAAACAAGATCACAAATTCTCTCCAAAATTCGAGGGACCGTTTCTTAACATTCGTACAGATGGGTCTTTTTGCTACGACATCAAGTTTACCATACTATAGAACAAGTTTTTGGAAGTTGTCCATATTCAACATCTTCGGTCGTACTTCAAGCGAGATACACCAATTAACAAAAAAGATGACAGCTCGGATGAAGACGCTTTAAGCTAAAAATGAATTTCATTTTTTAAAATTTTGTTTTGAGTGGTGCCGAATGTAACGGCTCACGTTTTTGTTTTGTAGCACAAGGAACCCCCCCCAAAAAAAATAAGTACTTACTTGAGTATGTGTGGCAACAGTAGTTTGCAGCTCGTTTGTTGTCAGAGAAAAGATAAAATGTTGTCGGTAGTCTTCATTTTTGTTTTAATAAATGAATTCTAATCAACTTCTTCTCTCAACTAAGATTCGCAAGGCGGAGCTTAATAGTTAGGAAGGCTCAGCCACACTTAATGTGCCTACGAGAATGTTTAGATGCTGTTCTTTTATACCTGTTATAAAGCATTGTACATTTGTTACTTTTCCTTCTTACCTGTTCGTCAGTGGTAGGCTCTAGGGGTATTCCACCCCCAGTTTCTTCCTGTCAAGAGAATGTCTCTTTAGTGGTGACGCTGCTGAAGCCCGTGAGAGGCATGAATGGGAGACCATTTTCGGGTGGTTGCCTGTCATCGGGGTTTCTTTTTGGAACGATGGGTTTTGTTGAACCGCCACACATGATGGCAAATCGAAGCTCTCTGCAGAAAAGCACACAGAGCGGCTCCTGTAAAAAAATATAAGATTTTGCTACCCTTATTTTAATTCACATATTTAAATATTCGGAAGAAATGTAATAGTTTTAAAAAAATCTATCTATTCTTAACTAAAGATATTGTTGCTAACCAACTGCCGCAAGTTTTTTAAAATTTATCTTCCTTGTTATAAAAGTTCCTTTCTCATCAGCTGAAGTTAACCATTTAAAATTCTTATATTTATTTAGTTTATGATTCAATTATGTCTCTTGCGATACTTTTGGTTAAAAACCTAAGCTTATTAATACGGTTTAGAAACAGGATATAATTATAAGCATTGTTTGCTATGCTTCTAGAATGTGGGGAACAGATTTAGAAAAGAAGATTAATTCCCGTCTTCTTCGCAGAGTTCAAAGAAGACTTTTACTGAATGTTGTATGTGTCTTACAGAACAAGCTATGAAGCCTATTTCGCAAGTGTGAGTCCCCCGATCGAACTTCATGTTTTACGTCATAAAGAATTTAAAGATAATATCAGCAAATTCATATTCGATACCAAGGTATCGTTTGAGGATCTTCCTCATTCTGCTGACCTTTTGCGAATTTTAACTAAATTTACAACTCCATTGAAGATAATTTCACAGTTGCGTGTTATACAAATGACACTAGAATTAATTACCAAATTGGACTAACATATATCGTTTTTCATCATGTTTCTGAACTGGAAAAACAAACTGTAGAATACACAATGAATGCAGTGTTTTTCAAGTATTGAATTAGTGTGCATTAATGAATCAGTTAAGTGAATATGTAATCATTATTATTCAAGTTGTAATCTTTTTATTTGCACAGATGCTCTTTCATCTTTATATCCTGTTATATTCGCAAAAAGCATTCTTATATTCGCAAAAAATAGTGAATACGCGAAAAATTATTCATAATTTTTTTTTTACTTTTAAATTAATTAATTTGAAAATATTTTGAAACAAATCTGGCAAACATTATGAAATAACTTAAACATTACTTTCAGTCATAGCAACAGCTGTTCCTTTATTTTAATAACACTTCGAGCCTCTTTCAATGTAGAAATTGCAAACGTTTGAAAACTTTGTTTCGTTTTTATTTATTTTGAAAATTGTGCAGGCCTGAAAGTGGAGCGAGTAAATGGTTAGCGGATATGGAGCAAATGGCTGCTATTCCGAAACCAAGGGTGCAGATTCAGTTCCCGCATCATAAGACTTAACTGTTGTTGTGTGAGCTTCCTTTGTGATCAGATGTCAAACGGATTTCCGGAGGAGGCGACAGAATAAGTGTCTTTGAGTGGGTATTACGTGTCATCATTCAGCCAGCTGCCAATTATGTGCTTATTGTATGTCATGCGAATATATCTGTAGGAGGAAACACAAATATTCATTAACATTTTCTAGGCTTGTGCGGCAGAGAAAAAGCTGGGAGACAATGGTTTAGACAAGTCTTCTCAAATTGCCTACAGGTCACATGCACGAACTCAAAACAGCTGACGAGCTAGAATTTTTTTAAAAACAACATTTAAAAAAAAAATATTAAGAAAAAAAAATAAACTTTAAAATTTCTCTTACTAAATATTTTTCAAAAAATACCTTAACAATAATAATATTGCAAGGTAAAACAATTCAAACTTATATTTATTTGCGACTTGAAATCTAAAGTTTGGTGCCTGCAATACACTTTTGTCGGTTACTTTGTAATTCAAATATATCGAAGAGACATTAAAATCTCAGACTGACAATTATTTAATATAGTTCTAAAATATTTAATTAATCATCATAACATACTTTAATTTAAACTAAGTAAATAAAAATTATGAAAACGTTCCAAGTTTTCAGAAAAAAGTTTTCAAGTTGGACAAAACTTGAGAATAAGCAGTGAAAATTTAGTCTCTTTGTGTTATTTGTTAAATTTTTCATCGACGCATACATAAAATTACAAAATTTTGTATATAAGTAATTATAAAAATTTCCATTCCTTACTACAGCTTGATATGTGATGGCGTTTCAATTCTTATAAAGTTTCTACCCTTCTGCAGAAATTATTAGAAATTATCCTCATCACAGATTATAGATGCTCATCGGACTTTTCTGATTAATTTTTTTTTTGACAAGTACGAATAAAATTTAAAGACAAACTGCATCTTATAAGCTTTGAGTAAGATTTATATTACACAAATCTATAAGCTATATGAAAATAATGTAATGAATGCTACATGAACATAATGAAAATAATGTAAACTCGGAACTTCATATAACTAAAATCTTTACTGAAATATATTGGAGGTCCAGTGAAGAAAAAAATCTTTTTACCCTTTCTTCGCTGTCCACCTTGCGTGATTTCCAAATAAACTCGATTACGGCTACAAAGCACGCTGTGATGAGTCCAGCCCCCAGCACCACGAACACTCCGCCTACATTAGCGAGGCTTAAGGCGCTGGCTGAGCCTGCTGTATTTGTCTCATCCTTACTGCATTTTCCACCACCAAGTTTCTGCTTCCACCATCTCTCCTTTAGCACATGTAATGTGCCACTCTCTTGTAACTTCAAGATGGCGCTCGACAGCGGAGTCCGGTATGGCGAACCTGGAAGGAAGTCAAATCAAAAAAGTGAAATTATTGAATTGTTATAGAAATCTTGTTTCCTCTTTTTTAGATCAGAAGAAGTAAAATACTATGCTAAAGATCAAAGTTTTGGTTATTTAATATGTTCATAGAACCATTAAAAACATTTTTTAAGATCTGCGGGGAATAAGATCCCCCAAGATAAATGCCTAAAACTAATTCGTCAGCTTTCTACATAATTCTCTTAGACTTCAATACACATAGCACAGCGATCCGTTAAATGCAGTATTAAGCCGAATTTTTTTTTTTGGGGGGGGCAGCCTTTTAGTTACTCTTGAAAGATATCCTTAATGATAATCATCGCCGTAATGTGTAAACGATGCAATTTCTACTTCAGTTTGGGGAACAATGATGAGTTACTTAGCACCCGATTTGGAGATACTGAAATAGGTATTGTGGAATAGCAGTCTGTGAAACCTGAGACTTATACATTGAAGCACTCACTGAAGTACAAAAATAACACTTTGTTGCTGCATTTGCTACAGCAGCTTTTCGATAGGTCAGAGTCAATAAACACATGTAATTGTGGTATTGCGTGGCTTAAAATCAATAAGAATCCCAAGAAATAATGACCAAAATCTTCTTGGTAGACCTCTGAGTTTTGAACTTGTGAGATCAGGGAGATCCCTTGGGTTTTCATGCCATTTTTGATTGTTTCGTTTCTGGATTATAGTGGAAAGTTGTATTTCATCTTCCGTTACTAGCTATGAATAGAAGTTTTTATTGGCATTTATCATAGACAATAGCTTTTAAAAACATTAAACTTGATATTTCTGTTTTCTGTCACATATAATTCCTTTCTCCTTCCCGCATTCACATTGCGCAGTAGTCTAAAGTCATCTTCGAGTGATGCTTGTCTAAATACAGCAGCTCATATTTGATGGTGCCATAGAAAATGCTGTAGATGACAACTAAATACTGAACGATTCGAAAGTAACAGAAAAAGTAAAAATTCAGTAATTAGAAAAGTGAATGCACAGTAGGACATAGAATTTCTTTTGACAATTAAATGGTTTTTTTCCAGAATAATGTTATTAAATTTAAAGTTATGCTTACTAAAGTGTATGGAAAGTCCTTTGCTGAAGTGAAAGAGTAATGATTTATCCAGTGGTATCACACCAAACCGTTTAGTAATCAGTAATGACAAAATGACTCTACGCTTCTCTGACGAGAAATAACGTAGCTTCTTCATTTTAAATCCAACCACTTATGATTCTTCCTTTTTAGATTTTTTCTAGTTGCTTGATAATATTGTAAAGTTTCAGATTTCAAGGTGGACACCTGTCAGTGTATGTTTTCATGCTTGTCATTTTTCATCTGTCGCTTGTCCTGTTGCAAAGTGTTTCGATTTGGATATGCTCAGTACTGGAAGAAGCTATATTAAAAAATAAAGATTATGTTTTCAGGTAGGTACAAGACTGCGTCTGGTATTTGATAGCTATTGCATCATTAGAAAAAAAAATTAGTTTCTAATCTGTCTCAAATTACGTTTCGTCTAGAGCCAATGTGTAATACATATTTATATGACTCTAAAGATGAGACTACTGGGGTAGGGTTTCGCATTTACCTGAAGGCGTAGCCACACCGTAGCCTTTGTTGTCGAGCAAGCCCCCTATCTGGGTGAGCTCACATTCTCTTTCGACGATATACTCAATAGAGGTGGACTCCATGAGGAAGGCATAGTTTTCCTTCTTGACTCGCTCCACGCCTTTGCTGTTGGACTCGGTGAAGACGCTCGGGCGAGCACTCTGCATGAAAGCCCACATCCGTTTGAAAGTAGGAATCGTCGACTCCTGCAGAAATATAAAGTGAAAATTTGCTAAAGTTTTTATTCATCAAGGATACTAAGAAAATGATGTAACCCCTGTCTTTAGTGCATTCGAAGAAATATAAATATCCGCCATTTTGTTTTAGCCAACCTAATTTATTTACCTTTAAACTCAATTCATTTGAAATGGTTATTATTTTTACAGGCTGAAATCGGGAATATTCACATCTGAAATTAGTGGTTTTCCTAACCAGTATAATATTAATTATACTAATTAATTACATTCTTAACCAGTATATACTAATTAATTACATTCCAAACCAGTATAACTAGTACACTGATGTGTTAGAAAAATGCACGAGATGTCTCAAAAATGTTTTTCAACTTTTATGTGTCTTAAAATTTCATGAGCTTTTGTTACTAACGTCACACGTGTACAAATCAGTGCTCTTAAAACCATTAAATTAGTAAATTCAAGAAAAGGAAAATAGAGTGGCATACATTTAAGAGGGTCTGCATATTTCTGTTAGAATATCATGGACAGATAACTCTTGCGTGTTTTATCATAATTCAGTCCAACTAATTAAATAAAAAGAAACTTCATAACGATTACTCAGAATAGTGCATACAACGGTGCTTTATTAATCAGAATAACAAAGTAAAATTCTACTTTTGTTTATCCCTGACAAGAAAATACCAGCACCTTTAAGAAGACTCTTCCTTTCAAGTTAGAATGCCCCTACACATAAAATAGCTGGCATCTTCAAGAAGTTGTGAAGGCTTTTCTCTCGGCGAACACTGGTCAATTACCATAAAAATATCGGCACTTTTATGAAGCATCGTCCTTATGAACAGTCTTTCTTATTACTCTAAGCTGAAAAATTAGAGTTAAAAATAATTAAGGTACCTTGAAAAAGGCTTGAGTGGATCCGGAGTCTACGCAACCGTATTGAATGTGAGATTGCTTGGCAAGATCTTCAGCTCCTTCGATAGGGGAAACAAGTCTTTCAACTGTGAGGAATGCTGCCAAATTGGCAGTGTAAGAAGATACCATGATCAGAGTGAAGAACCACCAGATGCAAGCCACGACACGCGTGGAGAGAGCCCTAAGCAAATAAAATAAACAGGAAAAATCTGCGTAAATAAATGTTTAAAACTGTTTTTATAATTTTATAAATGTAGAATTGTTGCAAATGTTTGCTTAAAATCGTAGATATCTATGGCCTTCGAACACTTTACTGTTATATCTACGAATGTAAGAAAATTTGGTCATGCAATATAAAACAAACAGCAGAACTTAAATTTGGATGCGATGATAATGTAGTACTGTAATAACTCAATGTAATGATGTATAGTGATATACTCTAAACAGTTTTCACAAAAAACAAAATGTTTAATTCCCTCCTGCATCTTTATTATATGCGGCTTAAGTGTCTGTTTATCGCCTATAGTTTATTGGTTGCTTGCGTATTTTATTATATGAGGCTTAAGTGTCTATTTGTCGCCGATAGTTTATTGGCTGCTTGAGTAACTGTACTAGCCAATGGGGTGAAGTTGCCACGGCATTCAAATAGTACATATACACTGATACCATACATGCAGTTATCATTGTTTTCATTAAATTATCATGGTATTGAAGAACATTTAAATATTTTTAATTCATACAATTTTTGCTTATTATGCATTTAACTATATTTACATATGAATTACCTAGAAATTTGCAAACGTTGAGAAATTAAAGGAGACGAAACCAACTAACGAGTTGTGCGTAGTACATCTCATCAGGTAGGTTTACCCAAACTCCCATGCTAAATATCCTTTCACGTAAAGAGTTTAAAATTTTGCCCGATTTTATTCCGATATTGTATTTTAAACTGAATTTTCAGCTGAAGGCAAATTGAGCGTGTCAGGGGGAAGGTGAATATTTGTTTGCATTAGTACTCATCTGTTTTTGAAATGGTTTACAACTGAACGCAAATCGAGCGTGTCAGGGGGAACGTGAACATTTGTTTGCATTAGCAATCATCTGTTTATAATCAATTTATAATATCTAGAATAGCGGTCATTTCGTATGACCGCCGCTCTTTCTAGTGATTAAATATTAGAATTCCGTCACTGCCAAAGTCATTCTTGGGATACATAATAGTTAACCATTGCATTGACTAAACGGAATTTTCTTATTACTTTTGTTTCTTGGGATACATAATAGTTAACCATTGCATTGACTAAACGGAATTTTCTTACTACTTTTGTTTCTTACAGCACGGCCATTTGTTAAATTGTTAGGATGAGAACTCGATTTTGTGGTTGGATTTGAGGTCAGAAAAAGTAAAATTTCGTAGGTATATAATCATGGATTTTCTCTTGTACAGATCAACCAACCAGTGGTAAATCTAATGCACTTATTTTTTAAATATCACTTTTATCAAGAATGCACTTTTTGCCACTTAACTGTGTAAGGATGCTAAGTTTTACTAACGTTTATTTTATTTTAAATCTTTACTATCACTTCTTATTTTCTACTTCCGGCCAGAATTAAAAGCTTTAACTTATTCATGCAAATTTGTCTTGCGAACGCCAAGTACTTAAGTTGTGGCTTTTTGCCAAGCAAGAGAGAGGAAGGAGCTATTAGAAGCAGGCCGCTTGCCATAGTAGTTTTTACTCGGTTGCTGGTTACCTTCAAGGCCAGAGGTTTAATCCTCTTGATAATTTTAAACGTATCGTAGTGTTAGCAGTTCTCTGTACTACATACGGCTTTTTGTTAATATACGGCCAATCTTGAAGTTAGGCACTTGTTTGATTAATCCAAAGTTAGTTTAGTTAGAGTTTAGTTAATATTTTTATATTCTTACGTTCAGACCACAAGTGGTTGGTCTCTGTATTCCGAAGTCCGGAAATCATTGTAAAGAGAGAAAAATAAAGGGTTTCGTATACCCTTCCTGTGTGTATTGACTACTTCCCAAATTTATTGAACATAGCTTTAGTAAGCTCCCTGTTCCGAGTCAGGACATTTAATGTTCCCAAAGCAAATAAGGAGGAACACAGAACCTGATAACTGTTTTTGGGGTTAAGACATCATTCCAATTGAATCAATTTTCGTTTTCACATATCTCCACACCAGTTTAATTTTTTACTTTTATAGTTTAATTTTAAGCGTCTAACACAATTATCTGGTACCACCTCTCTATGTGATTTCTCAAACAATGAATTCGTTCAATACGTGCTTTTTTTTTGAATGAAACCTGCTACTATTATTATAACGTATTTCTCCCGCTTTCCAAGCGTCCTTCGTGGTGTAGTGGTTCTGCACGCTGGCCCGGTATTCCAGAGGTCCGTGGTTCGATTCCCGGCGAAGGCGTTGTTAATTTTTTCATCTCTCCGGCCTCCAAAAAATATCCTAATGTCTCTACATTATTACTGTGAATAGGCAAATATAAAATTATGTACCTAAAAGCAATTTTCTGAGGGAAATGCTAATGAAACATGGCGTGAAAAGCGCTCATTTTTTTATATGAAAATTTCAGTGCTCAAAAATATGTTTGACGAATGTTAGAATTACTTTTGGATTAGATTATCTTTATTATAATATAAAGAATGTATTTGGAAGAACCTCAATACTGGCGATTTGTTAGGAGATTTAAGGTTATGCAATCCAGTTTCTTTTTTATGGACAATTCTGGGATGATAGTAATCTGGAGATCCGTTCCGAGTCGTTCCTGAACTACAACATTACTGACGAACAGCAGTTGCTAAGATATTGCATATTGACAATACTGCGATACGAAGGCTAAATTTTAAATAGCATCACATACACTCACTTCCAAAAGTTAAGCACGAAGATGTAAAATTCAAAAATATCAACAAATACTGCTTTGATTGACACAAAATTCGGCAGGAAAGTAGCATATATATTTATGCATTAAAAAAATCAATAATTATATACAGAAATGAAAACAATATTAAATTTTGTAAGTTATCAGATAATGACATACTGGAGACTTAAACAAAATTATGTATAAAGTGGAAACAAACAGCATAAAATGAGAAAAAAAAAAAAGAACATTAATAGGGTATGTGATCATCCCCCATCTGTAAACAGAGTTTACACCCTGTGACCATGCTTTCAATTAGGTGGTCAACCACCGCAGAATTAAGCAATCGCCATTCTTCTTGTAGAACAGTTTCCAGCTCAATAAGAGTGGCTGGAGGTGGGGAACATGAAGATACAGCACGGCCGAGAGCATCCCAAAGATTTTCAATGATCGGGCGAATATGCTAGCCACGCTATACGCGCAATCCCTTCACTCTCCAGGTAGCGATGTCAGCTCTATGGGAACGTGCGTTATCGTCCATTAAAGCAAAAGTAGGGACAACTGCTGCAGCGTACAATCTCACAATGGGTTCTAGGACTTCATCTCGATACCGGACGCGTAATGGCAGACCGCACATTGAGTTGAACAGTGTTAAGCGAATTTCGCTTACTGCGCATGCTTGATGGTGTACCTTTGGCGCGGAGAGAAATATTGGCAACTAAGCAACCCTACGTTAGCTTATTTGTGATCTCCATGGCTGTCGAGTGTGTTCGAGTGATGTTTAAAATTGCAATGTTGTGGAACTTTGCTTATTAGTTATTTTAACGTCCATGCCGATTGCACTTGCTTATTTTTCTAATATATGTTTCATTTTAATTTGTCAATAACAGTGCATTTAATATTTGTTAACATATGTTCGTAATAATTCGTTATTTAAATGTAATTTGTTTACATATTATAATTCAGTAATTGTAAACTGGAGTATCTCGCTTAGTTTGTTAGCGTATATTCGCGCTTTTATTTTCTCATTTCAAAGAATTTAATAACTAGCATTAAAGAAATTGTAAAATTTCTTTAGTGTTTTATCTGCAAGCACTTGTTATATATTCCTCATTGTTTCTTTATGTATGTACGAATGTAACGTATGGTAAATCCTGAATTGTTTTTATTTCTTAAAAGTATAATGAATAAATTTTCAAGTAATATATCCTAAATTTCAGTCTTTTTCTGAACGAAACTTTGTACAGTTCCAAAGGAATGTGCAGAATTTCATAAGTATTATATTTTACATTTTGAATGTAAACACTGCTTCACATTACTTCACAATAATTTCAACTTTGCAGTTGTACGAGCAATACAGGAAAAAAATCTAATTTTACACAGTAATTACTTTACATTGCACGTATACTCTACGAAAACTTAAATGCCGGATGTGTTCACAATCAGATGGCGGTACATCTACCACATACCGTGTTTATCTTCTTTTCAAATCGCGCCAACATAATAATTACGCCAAATTTGTTTCTGGGCATGCGCAGTATGCGACATTCGTTTAACACTGTTCAACTCAATGTGCGGTCTGCCATTACGCATACCGGACAGCCGTCAAAGAACCCATTTAAAGATGTGCAGTTCGGTGTGGTATTCTAATGAAATCCCTGCCCACACCATAATGCTTCCGCCTCGGAATGTGTGATGTTCGGTGATGTTTTGGGACTAATTGCGTGTTCGTTGTTCACGCCATATCCTTATACACTTGTCATCTGGCTCTAGAGCAAATCTTGACTCATCAGTAAACATGACATTGCCCCAGTCAGACACATTCCAATTGACATGTTCCCGGCACCACTGTAATCGTGCCCTCTTGATTAGAGGGATAGAGGAACACAAACTCGAGGTACCTGGGCGTACAGTCCACTCATACGTAATCTTCGGCGTACAGTAGCTTCAGATATCGCCTTAACAATGGACGCTGTAACCATAGATGTCACACGTGTGGCGGTCGCTCTGCGATTCCGCTTAGCTACAATAGCAATATATCGATATTCCGCGGAGGTTGTAACCCTTGGGCGACCGGATACCAGCCTTCGGACAACTGTCTGTGTGGTTTGGAATTGTTTCCATAAACGTGAAATTACAGAATGATGAACGCCGAAGAAAAGAGCAACATCAGTGATCGACTGTCCTGCTTCAATGCGCCGCATAGCATGCCAGCCCTCAGAATTTTCCATTCGTCTTCTGGAAGTCATAGAAACACGTATGTCTTGAAAACAAATTGTACGAAAGTTTTAAACAACTTCTATCAGCACATACAATCAACTTCTGTAACCCTTAATAAAGCTGACTTCTTATAAGACTGCCTTTTTTGCATATTTCTTGACATGAAAGCGCGGTTGGCTGTTACCTAACATATTTGCATACTTCCAGCTACCTCTGCAGTGAATTGAATCCTCTTCAATTCTGATTGGCTTCCGGAAACTAGCATTTTCCTCTCCGTGCTTAACTTTTGGAATTGAATGTATTACACTCATGTCCATAAATTAAGGATAATTCGGAGTCACGCGGAAATCGAACTCTAAAATAAATATATTACCTGTAAAATCACTACACACATCTTCAAGAATCATATGCAAATTTCAGGAAGTAACCAGATGACACCGATGGTACGTCACAATGACGAGAGTGTAAGAGAGTGATATATAAGGAATGCAGGCAAAGAAGTAAAATTGTTCGCAGGCGCTTTATAAGCATTTTAGTGCAATAACCGAATAGTTATGACACAAAGGACGCATTTGGATGACTTTTAACGTGGTAGAATTATCGGCCGTCTGGAATGTGGGCGTACCCAACTGGAATTATCAGACGAACTTGGAATTTCCCAGAGTGTCATCTCCAGGCTTTGGCAACGATTCCAAGATGATGGTAATGTGAGTAGACGTTACAGCATAGGTCGCCCCAGAGTCGCAACGCCGAATGAGAACCGGTATTTGGCAGTTACTGCAAAAAGAAACAGGCAGAGCACAGCCTCAGACCTGTCTCGTCAGCTCTCTTCAGCCACTGGTAGGACAATTTCAAGGCAGACCGTGTACAGACGCTTAGGACAGATTGGTCTATATGCTCGTAGACCTGTCAGATGCGTTCCACTTACTGCAACTCACTGTCGCCTGCGGTTAGCCTGGAGTAGAGAGCATGCATTGTGGACACCGCAACAGTGGGCTTGTGTGATGTTTTCCGACGAGTCCAGGTTTAGCTTGCAGTCTGATTCTCGTCCGGACTTTCATATGGAGAGATCCAGGTACCCGTTACCACCAAGAAAACATCATTGAACGACACCGTTACGGTGGTGCAGGAGTGCTCGTTTGGGGTGGAATTATTCTGGGTTCCAGAACTGACCTGCATGTTCAAATTGGAACCATGACAAGCCAAATCTATCGGGACGTCATTCTGGAACAACATGTACGTTTGTTTCGGGGCGCCATGGGCGCACAATTTGTGTTTATGGATGACAACGCCCGTCCTCACCGTGCAAACATCGTAAGCGAATGCCTTCAATCGGAGGATATCACCCGTATGGACTGGCCAGCATTCTCACCGGACTTGAATACAGTAGAGCACGTGTGGGACATGCTTGGCCGACGATTTGCAGCCCGTCAACCTCCTCATACATGTCTACCGGAACTTCAGAGAGCATTGCTTTTTGAGTGGTCTAATGTCCCCCAAGATCAGATCGATAATTTCTCAATAATAATACTCAGCATGTATAGGCGTTGTACGAACTGTATTGCATCGTCTGGGAGACATACAATTTATTAACAATAAACCAACCATGTAATATTGTTTTTTTTTTTTTTTTTTTTTTTTTTTTGTAAATAGGTTTTTTTTTTTTTTTTTTTTTTTTTTTTTTTTTTTTTTTTTTTTTTGTAATTTGCTCCAGGGAGAAAAAATCGCTATTTTTTTTAATAATATCAAACATATAGCATCTTTTTTTCCTCTTTACCTTTTGTTTAATAAATAAGCTTTACAAATAAGAAAAATTTGTTTTGCTTCTAACTCTTCCTTTGCCTGACTTTGCATTATCCTTAATTAATGGACATGAGTGTATATACCTTTGAGGATTGAGCACTGATGAATTGGATTTAAGTTATATCTTCAGTGAACGACTTATCCACTGTGATCCAATGTATGTTTCGAGGTTGAGTCAAGATTTTCTTCAGAATTAGACAATAAAAGTTTTAAAAGTTGGAATAAAAAATATATACAACAGCCTAATAACATCATTGAAGATTTTCGTTGGAGTGTGATGTAATATAAGTTCTCTTCAGTTTATCAGCCGAAAGGGTGATGGGTACAGGATCAACTCCTTGAACCAATCTTGAGGCTTGATTAATGACACAAAGTAGAGCAAGGCTGGTAGACGAACAACTTGAGTGCTAAAATATTGTTTATGTAGAGTGGCTAACGTATTTTCTAGAAAACAATCCTATCCAGTATGTTTGAGTTGCTCTTGGAAGAACTGTTTCTATCCTTCAGTTACTCACTTAGGGGTAATAAACACCCAGCTCAGTTACTGCTTTCTCACAGAGTGGCAGTAACTACTTCAGCTGCATCACAGTTTACAGAAAAAATTACATGTCAATGCGAATCTTGTTTCGCATTAGCATGTCGAAAGTCAGGAAGTAAATCTGGAAAAGCGATATCTCACATTAAGCTTGTTTGCTTTGTTTTTATAGCATACAAATCATTTTTTCGATCCTACTCTATATGAAGTAAGCCATTAAATCAATTAAAATATTCGTAAACATATTTTATTTCATTTTATACACTTACAAATATATTATTCAGTCTTCTATTGTCTTCTAAAATTGGGAATCAATCGAAGAATGAAATTTCTTTCCTTTTGAACTTATTACCCAATGTATTTGCATTTTACCAAGAGGACAAAGACTTTATCACAAAAATACCACATTATATGGAATTCCTATAGCTATAATACAATTCTAGGAATACCCTCCAGGCCTTTTATATATAGGATATATATTGATTGATATATTGAGGATATATATTGTGGGATATATATTGCGAATATATATTGTGGAAACAGCACATCAGAAGTTTCTTGCAGAAGAAATGGAAAGAGCACTTACTTTTCAAAAGAAAAAATGTGAGAAATCAGTTGGTTACCTATTTAGTTCTTCTACAGCAGCCCTAAATATTACCTCTAAAACTCAAAATCGTTGAAAGAAACCTTCAGCATTTTGCCAATTCTGTGATACTAACAGGCACTGGCTTCAAAACTGATATTGATATAACTATCTTGATATCTTTATATTAGTAAAACAAACTTTGACTGATATTGACACGCGTATTGTAAACCTAAGGAGTGCTAGTATGTGTTTCTTTTGTATGAATCGAAGACATAATCTCAAAAATTACGCCGCATAGAAAAGGCTTTCTGAATTTCGACATAATTTTCAAATTGCAAAACGTATTTCAATCTGTAAAGATCCAAAAACTATTCCAGTTTCTCCATTACTTCTACTATTCAGATAAGTGTATTTGCTCCTAACTTTACTTACTAACAAACTGTTCGAATCTATATCACTGGCCGAATGGTCATAAACAAATCAACTCGCTGCATTTTAGATGGTTGAAGCCAGCTGAGTTTAGTACATTGACTTTTAGTAGATATATTAAAATCACAAGTCATTAGTTTAGATTCACTGCAGGTTAGAGCATTTGAATCTTCCTCAAGCATTGCACAGCCTAGATGTCGAGTACAGTTTGAACTCTCCAACGTCTGGAATAAATCTACAGTCATCCTAAAAGCATCTGAAAGCAGAAACACATATACATATCGCCCTACTGCATCATTAAGTACTGCACTTCTTGCTCGTAAATAGAAACCGAAGCTTGCTGATTCATATGACGCGTCCCATAACATAGCTACTGAAATATTGACTAGTGCATATATTTTTATTGGAATGTTGTCATCAACCCCGAGTCACCTGTTAAATTAGCGTAAACTCTTGCCATGGGAACTTCGATTTTTGGTTGGATTATTAGCGAATTTCGTTCCAAAACTACTGTTACTTCCTTACTTGTAACTCATAGTTCGTAATTCATACGTCAATCACTCATAAAATGGATGAAGATGTTAGAAGATTCCGTAATTTCTACAAAATAACAGAGGTATGTCGAGTTGTGAAATTGCTATGGAAATACGATGTCACTCTATCTTTCGAAAACTGTAATGTAGTCCTGAAACATTTGCATACCTTATGCAGAAAACTCTCTGTTATTCCAAATTTATAGCATGTTTATATAGGGTGTATACAAGACTGTATTGATTAGAAGCAAATCAAATTTGCTTGCATTATAATTGTCAGAAATTCTATATATTACATATCTCTCTACTTCGAAAGCACAAAAATAAAGAAACAAAATGGCGATGTTCAGTGCATCTTCTTATACACAGGGAAATCCTTTTCTAAGTGAAGCCATCAAACACATACTTCGTAACTGCTTTTCTTATAAACTCTTCCAAGCGCTACCGGGTAGTCAAACAAAGGCCCTAGTTCAGCCAGAAAGCGTTGCACCCTCCAAAATGTTCACTACAATTGGAATAGATTTTGTATGCAGTAAGAAACCCTTGAACACAGTGCATATTATACTATTCACATGTTCGCCCACTCGAGCTTTGCATCTGGAGCTCCTTTCGGACATGACAACTAATAAGTTCATGATGGAATTTCAGAGGTCGGTAGACGATGATTTTCTCAAACATGACAAATCTATCACCTTCCACGCGGCAAACAAAAAATTGACCTCGCTTTGTAATATCTTAACAGCTAATTCATTCCAAAGTTTTTATGCTAACAAATGGCATTTATGATAAATTTATTGTGCATGAGCAGCGTGGTGAAGAGGTTGCTGAGAGCGTTTAATGGGATTAATTAAACGATGTCACTAATCGCGGAAATGTTGTGAGCTTTAAAAGTTTCATTTTTTTATAAAATTATGTATTGATTTAACAACTCACTTAGGCATCGCGATTGAAAGTTTTCACTGCAGATGACTTTTGCACGTCTAGGGGTGTAAAATGAAACGTATGGTAAATCCAATAAATGGTCTTTCAAAGATGTCAAACATTAATAGGAATAATAGTATTAGTTTCAAGCGATATATTGTAGCATTTGCCTAATGTTTCTGATACTTACCTAGGAGTGAGTTCGCAGCCTTGTTGCATTAAGCACCCAACTGTAAACCAGAGGGTGTTGAGCAACGTGAATTGGTTCTCGAGCACATCTGGATTAGGGTTGCAAGGGTGAGGATTGGTCCACTCATAAGGGCTAAATCGGGCGACGATGAAGAGAAAGAGGCTGACTCCCAGGAACGCCGTCGCCATGTATACCCAGACCTCCAGCGAGAGAGGCGAAAGAAATGAGAAAAGCTTCGGTACCTTCTTGGTAGGTTTTCGGAAGAGGATACTGATGCCAAGGTTCATGAAGGGCATCGTGAAATCGACCGCTTGCTCGCGATCGAAGGTGATGGTAAGATCGCCAATAGCAATATCAGCCCGCTGCAAGAGAAACAAATCAAATTCAATTACAACAAAATTTTATTGTCTTATAGTGTCGTCGATAGAGTGCCGTCGAAATCTTCATTATAAAAAATCTAGCTTATATAAAATTTTGATTAAAAGCTTGAAGACAAACTTTTCCCATTATATAACACATGCAGAAGAAACAGAACATGCTAAAGACAGAGGCAAAATTAGACAAAATTTCAGCCCAGTGCCACTGTCGGCTAGAAGTAGAATTAGACTAATTTCAGCCACTGATGCTAAGGCAGGAGTAGAAGAACTAGGATAATCCCCTAAGTCATAAAACTTAAAATATTAAAATTAAAAGGATAATCAATTCACCCTTTTTATGAAAGTGCGTTGTTTGAGTGCAATCGGATTCTCACCGAAATCTGATGCTCTCGGACTGCTTCGCCTCTGTTTCAAATTCAGAAATTATCCATTATGAACCTCAACAGAAGTCACTGGTGAGTGAGTCTGCCTACGCTAGGATACACTATTCGATAACTTAGAAGAATGTGGAAGAATCGTATACGTTTGTTCTTTTAAATTATAATACAGTAGTACTTGTAGTTTCAATTAAACCTCATAAATCCATTTTAACTCATTTACTGGTTATAATTAGTCAATTAAGTACAGGAATTTGTAGGGATGTAAACACAGGCAGTGCAGTCCTGGATCGCAGCGAGCGAAACCGCAAGTTAGCCCTAACATCTTAATTATTCTTAATTAAAAACTTTGCAAAAGAATTACATACAAGAATTTTTTTCAACTGAGCAAAAAGAACTAGTTTAGTTTTCATCCATTCCCATAGCGGACCTGAGACATTAACGTCAGAAATTTTAATTTTCTCATGTTTCTTATGGACGAACTTTATTAAGCTTTTAATACTTTAATTAATAAAAATGTTTCATGTGATACTCGAAGGAAATCACTGTAAAGTGTACTGACAGAATAATTCCGAGTTTAAACTGCGGAGAGAAAAGTGGTAAGTACATACCACTTTTCTAGCATAATAGCACATGCACAAACAAACTAAGAAACCGCTTTATGGCAGAGTATTGATAACAATGATAAAGAAATCTATCTCTTTACCCCGTCAATGAGCTCCTTGATCATTCCATTCCACTCGCCTTGATCGTTTTTTTCCCCATATTTGTGGTCGTCTACTTCCTTAATGAGAAATCGAAAGCCCAGGATTTTGGAAATTTCTTTTATGAGGTCGATGCAGTAACCTTCGTATTTTTCATTGCCTTCTAACTCTTGGTGATTTTCTTTCAGCATCGTATACGGAGCATTCTGCAGAAAACATCAAGAGGGAAAAAAAACTTGAAAACTTAGATTACAGTCTAACACTTAAAGAAGGAAATAAAAATAAAAAAAATAAAAAAAAATAAAAAAAAAAGTTAAAAAATTAAATTAGAAAAACCATTTTAAAATATAAAATGTCATAAATAACTTAAAGAATGGCTTTTAACGGAAAATATTGCACTATAAATCTCTTTTGTTAATTATATTAACTCTCAGTTAATTACAGATGGCTTCTTATAAACCTTCTTCTTACCAGGGCTTCTTATAAAACGTAAGTTTGTTTAATATTGGAAGATGGAATGATTGCTGTCACACATCTTCAACGTTTTGTTTAATTGATTATGGAAAAGCACTCCAGAGATTTCTGCCTAAGAGGAGGTATGCTTTTGTGGAAGACTTTGTAGGGAAAACCGTCCCATATACTCGTTACACATGGGAAAAACCACAGTGACGCCCATGCAGCCAGTGGGCCACAAATCATCAACGTTATATAAAACTGATTATAGAGAAAAATGCTTAAAAGGAAAATAAAAATATGACGGAAAACAGCAGTTATAACGAATGATGTAATATTTGGAGTGTTTTGATCCACAACAAGATATAATTTAATTGTACATAACAGTACATAATCTGGAGTATGCAAAATCTTCTCAAGCATGCATTAAAAGCAAAGTAAAATCCCTCCTAACCGGCACCCGGTTAAACGTAATACCAAAATTACGGCACTTCTGAAAGTCTAAGTTTAAATCCGAAATTTAGGCCTGTGAGATAAAAAATTATATGATGGGCTAGCAATCTGAAGATTTAAAAGAGGAAAACATTTATGTGATGTCTCTTCTGCCGAACGTAATAACCTTATTCCTCCGATGAACCAAAAAATTATCTAGATCATAAAGAGGAAGCACTGATCTCTTTTTATGTATCGATGTGTGTGAACTTTAAAAAAAAAGTGTCCATGATTTTTTGAAAACAATTTACTTCAAAAGATCTCAAGTTTACTTTGACTTTGACTTGGAAGGACATTACTTTGCTGTTGGTGTAAATTGTGATCAGGTTCATAGATTACGAATCGAGTGACGAAGATATCCTTAGTTTTCAAACATGTTCTAAGTCAGTGGCCGACATCTTGAATTTAGTTCCGTATTCGGAGACAGCTAGTTTTAATGAACAGGAGCTGCAGGTTTGGGTGGAGGTAGACAATTCTGTTTCCATATTTATGTTTATTGCAAGCACGCAGAAGCAGACATTCGAAGTTATATGACATCACATGAAGAAATACGTAACTTTCATACTAAACATGGTAATTTTTAAAAACTGTTTTTATTTTAAATAATGCGTGCGATTTTTAATATTATTGATTTAGTTGTGGTCGATAGATAAAAAACACTTTCAACGAACTTCGCATGTTGCAATTTGTAGAGATGATAACACAAAACATGAAAAAGTAAAAGTTCTAGAAATACGTATTCAACTATCCGGAGTCGCCGAGGTCCCGTTGCTACCGATTAAAAGGGATTCTACTGTCTGTAAATGGTTAATTTAGTGCGAATCTAGTCTAGGAAACTATTGGCACGAAGTTAATCTAGTCTGTCATATTGACTCCCGTTAAAATAAAACGTAATGTAAACAAAAACAAACAAAATTCCTGTAAATACTCGTATTATTCTTCAATGTAATTTATAACTTTGTTTCTTTATTTCTAATAATGTTTACTCGTATTCTTTTGGTAGTTACAGTGTGTTCTTTTTCTTTCGAATACTGATTTAAATTTGATTATCAAATGAATGTATTCTCCAAACTAAATTACTTGGAAATATAAGTAAACTGTTAATAGTATTTATCCATTTTTTATAATATGAATTATTCTTCTTTGCCCCCCCCCAATCCACTAAGCTATTTTTGGATTAATCGTGATTTTGGGTTTATGATGGATATCATCTTGTCTATGATGGACATTATTCTTAGTAAATCGAGAGCTGATTGCATAGCAAAACTTCAAGAAAACAATCAGTTGAGTATATTATAAATTAAATGCATTTTAATTAATATGAACATGACGTCTTATTAAAAAAGTAAAATAAATATTTAAGTTTTTAAGACGTCTCTTTATTGCTTTTAAATTACTTAGTTTATTAATCGTAATAAATTTATTAATTTTAAAAAGATAAAGTTCTTATGCTTTGTCGCTTGAGAATCGGCTATGCTTAAGAAAGTGTGAAAGACAAATTAAAGATATTATGTTTCGCTGAGTGGCAACAATTCTCGAGATGCATGGGTGATAAATATCATTTCTAGATTTGAGAGGTAATAATACTGGATTTTATAATGAAATGTTAAAGTATGCGTTGAAGACTCAACTTTCTCAGAACATAACTTTCATATGTCATTTATAACACTTTTATAACTTTTAAATTTATTTCTGTTTATATTAAAATATTGAATTACCAATAAAAAATGAAATAGAAATTTAATTTATTCGAACTATATTAACACGACCAAGATAATGTATTTTAGTGGTTGTTCTTTATAAAAATATCACTTGCTTAGGCTGGTACGCTGAATGACTTCGCAACATTATTTTGGGACAAAAATATTAAAAGTTTGTCAAACCTTCACCTAGTATTCACGCAATAGTAAATTTTACATAACAGTTTACCACTTTATACAACATTGTTTTAAAGAATGGACTTGGGCACTTACAATTAGTGTGGTAGCTAGCAAAGTCTTGTTCTTCAGAGACTGAATTATTTCTTCAGTAGCCCTCGAATAGTTGGTGGTCATATTGAGCCCAGTGTGGATATTCCATTCTCCAGACTGAAATTAAATAATGGTAATAATTATAACATTTACATATGATTCGCAAATGAAAGTTTCCATGAAAACTGGAAGAAAAATATATAATGAAAACAACTAAATGAGGAAAAAAATAGAGATAATTTCATTCGGTATCATTTAATTGAAAACAGCTCTCTATTTTACTTACTTCCCGTAGACCATCATTCGTGAGTTCTAACACTTTTAGCTTGAAGTCGGAACGAAATCCATGGTGGTCGAATTTGATGTCACCTGTCAGTCCTTTCACGTTGATCTAAAATAAAAGACATATATTTAAGAAGATCGGTATGCTCCTAGTAATGTGTACTGCTATCTAGTAGGGATTCTTAAAGTGAAAGAGTTTTTAATGCGTCCCGGAAAATTTTGAAGGAAATACTCTGTAGCATAATTAAATATATTTGACCGTAATTATGAAATTTTATTACGAATAAATTATTTATAATTGTATATGTTTATTTACTTGATTTTTACATTATTTTCTTCTAGGAATCACTCCTTTTCCTCCTTCTTTTCAGAAAGGTTCGGTTATCAATCGCAACATGCGCTTTTTCCGTGAATAAAAAAAAAAAAAAAAAAAGATAAGCATTGCTAGTGTATAGTAGTGGTCTTTAAACTGTGTTTCACGGAACACTGGGGTTCAGAACACTTTGAATCACACAGTCATTAAGTAGGACAGGACTTAAATTGTCCAACAACAATGTTTTAGTTTACGTTTCAATTTTTTATGTTTTCGACCAAAATGAAAGGTTAATTTTTAATAAATTCTCTTTCACTTAAAGACAGAAATCATGCATTATTATCAAGCACAAATTAGTAATCAACGTTGTTATACAGCTCTTTTACAAAACTAAACTTTCTGTCAAAATATCTATGTTAGAACAAGACTGTATATAACCATACTTTGAATTAATATAATCTGATATGTAACCTTAGTCGCGCTTTCGAGACATGAAAAACGCGAATAATATTTTGTCAATCGGCTCAGCAAAACGGGAGCTATAGAACTGTACTCTTCTCCCTTTTTTTTCTTTGTGCAGAATGTGAGCCAAAAAAAGAAAAAATGTCGGAGCTTACGTCACAGACCGCAAAGCTGTGAGGAGTCAGCGTTCGCATGTGCAGGACACTATCTAAAAAGAAGAAAAGATTACGCGTAACCAGACATTCTTCTGCAAGTGAAACTGAGACTGTACGTGGATATAAGAAATCTTTCACTTAAAGACACTTATCAGGACTTTCACTTATCAGGATGCCATTATACGTGGTAGAATGATTGGCAAGCTTGAGGAGGGCGTAGTTTGACGTCTATCGCTCAAGAGTTTGGAATTGATAAAAGTTTTGTTTCAAAAGCCTGAAAGGTCTTCTAAAAGACAGGTACAGTATGTTTGTTGTTGGTAAGTTTTGTTGTTGGTCAGCAAAGTAAAACAACGGTGAGTGATAACCGATATATAGCCTTGTAAGTGGAAAGAGATCGAAACCAGATAGTGGACAACATAGCTCAGAAGCTGCGCAGGGCAACCGGACGACAGGTATCCCGGTTTACTGTGGACAGACGACTTCATAAATGGGGCCTATTCGCCTGCTATCCTGAACGCTGCACACCATTGACAGCAGCTCAATGGCGGCACCGTTAACAGTTGCTTAGAGAACAAAAAGACACGTCCTCTTTTACTGATGAGAGTCGTTTCAGCATGATAAATTATTCTCGGGGACAGTTGATATGGAGAGAGGTAGGGGCACGCTTTCATTCTACTAATATCAGGGAAAAAGACCTTCGGGGCAGTACTAGCGTGTTTGTATGGGGAGACATGCTTATGGTGGGGAGGCATCACATTTCTAGCAAAGGCTCACTTACAAGATATCGTTACTGTGATGAAGTTGTTCTGTCCTACGTGCTTTTTTTCCGGGGTGACATTGATTCCGACTTTAATATGGTGGATAACAATGCAAGCCTCCCAGGCCTCCTACTGTTGAGGAGCCACAGGGACGTAAAGATATCCACAGAAAGGATTGTCCAGCGTATTCACCTGGTTTAAATACCGCTCAATATGGGTGGGATACTTTAAGGTGACGCCTGATAGCACGATATTATCCTTTAGAGAGCACCAGACAAACGAAAAAGATGTTCCTTGAAGAATGAGAACTCTTACCTCAAGAATTTCTAGATAATCTGGTATGGAGTATCGACAGACCGTGAAACGCAGCCATTGTAGTTAATGAAAGTCTTATCCCTTACTAAAACTTTTTGGTTTGTTATTCTTTCTCTTGGTCAAACAGTTTTTGTACATACACAATTCTGTCCATAAAGTCTTTTTGTAATAATATATGTAATATATATATTATATATATATATATATATATATATATATATATTTAAAAGTCACTTTCTAGTTTCAGCTACAGTTCTCTTCCTTAATTTGCCTCTTGAATGGAAGAAAAGAACCAGTTAAAATAATTCCTGTTGAACAATTTCTATTATTCAGACGACTACAGAACTACATGAGTTCTAATGGTTAATTTACTCAAATCTCTTAACATTAAAAGTCATAATTACCATTCTCATATAGTTAATTAGAGATATTCCATGAGGCCAAGGCTCTTCAGTGTCACACGACAAAGACTTGATGTGGATTTTTTGGCCCCTGTCCAGATCCGTTAGAGCCCTCGAGAAGAGTCGTGTAGCGTCATATAAGAGAGCTGCTTCTGTCTGCTCAATAAACAAATAAATAAATAATGAGTAATTTTTTTCATAGAAATGACTTTACATTTATATTTTATTAATAAACACATTGTGTAATTGTGAATCTACGTAAATCGAAACTAGGAAATTCACTCCACCTCGACACAATGAAACTATTTGCTGTTATTTCCATGTAACATTTTCCTGATTTTTAGAGGATCTTCGCAGATTTCTCGAATGTGAAACATATTCGTGAATTTCGAGATTTTCCTACTATTTGATTTGAAAGTTGTTTGATTATTTTTCATATTTAGATAAATTTAACATAACCTGCATGCATGTAAAATTGCACAGCAAAGAAATCCTATTTCAGAATTATTTAAATTAAAACTTTGAAATTTACCGACCCACAAATGGCCTTATGGTTAAGACCACAGAACATTACTATTTGGTCCTGGATTGAGCCCGGACAAAAGGACTGGCTGCATAGGATTTTCGCAAATTAACTCATAGGCGGTAAAGTAAAAGAAATCCACTTTCCTTTTCAGTCCTACATGAAGACATCCCTTCCTTCAGGCAGATCTCTAGCGGCTTTGCGATATTCAGTAAGGCGAAGTGAAATGAAACTTCGATTTTACTAGATTTCCGGAATACAAGGGAAGTCGCATAAATTCGTTCATAGTTGCGTGGAAAATACCAACAGTACACAGAGTGTCATAAGAAAAGTTCATTGATATATGAAACCCTATCTCCTCATCCAACTGAACTGAAATTTCGGATATTGTTATTTGTAGGTATGCGCTCGGGACTGTCAGGATTTAAAACAATAGACTCCTCAGGGTTAGGGTGTGAGTGAAAAAAATTTCGAATGGGGATACCTACCTTTTTTCCTGCACAAACTGATCAGCGCATTCAAAATCCATAAATGTCGCTGGAACGATACATCTATCACGAAAATTGCCAACTTAAAACATTCTCAAAGAACAGCATTTCAAAAGACCAGTCACAACGCAAGAGAGGGGAGGGGGAAAAACTTTTTTTGGAATTACAAGTTTTCAATTTGCTCTCCTTCGCAGACGATAATGCATTGCATGCGGAAGATTGTTGACATCAGTGACGAATGCAACATCGCAGAAGGGATCTGTGTTACTTCATAATTTTATGGCATCATTCAATTCTGACCAAGCTTATGGATTTGATGTGTAGTTCAGATAACCCCAGAACCAGAAATCCATTGGAGTGAGGTCAGGAGATCGCGGTGGCCATGAAACTGCAAAGTTAAGGGAGATGTCTCTATCTTGAAACTTCGAAAATTTGTAATTCCAATAAAAGTTCTTTTCCCTCACCTCTCTTGTGTTGTCACTGGCCCTTTTCAATGTTCTTCACTGCAAATGTTTCTACGTCGGCAGTTTTCGTCATATGTTTCAACGCCATTTATGTTTTTGGAATGCGGTGATCAATTTGCATCGGAAAAAAGTATGTGTAGCGTTTCAAAAATTTCGAAATCTTTTCCCTGTAACTGTAACCGTGAAGGCTGTATTGTTTTATATCATCACAATTTCGAACGCATACCTTCAAACAGCAAAATCTGAAATTTCATTGTGATTGGTTTGAGTGGATAGGCCTCTAAATATCATACGCCGGAGAAGTTTTTTCATGACCAGCCTGCATTTGTTGCACACTGATAAATAATTTCGATGCAGAATAATTCTATTTCTAAATTTAAATATAGCACTTAATGTGACTAAATAGGTAATGAAGAACCGATTAGGGCTATTTAGATTTTATTTAGATTAAGGGGAAAAGCATACAGGCTACCTATTTAAAGGGATGTTCCTTGGTGAAGGACTTTCTAGTTGAAACTGGCTTATATTCATATTACACATGCGCAAAACCACGAAATCTGCTCTGGAATCAGCCAGTTCTCCCAAATATGATTTCGGGTCGTGTCGTGGGGACCAATGTTCATAAATTTTACCGCTCGGCCGCTGGTGGGCCTTAACAAAGAAAATCTTTGCATGTACAATTTAAATGTATATAGCCGTTATCCTATTAAATGGAAAAATATGATTTCGGGTCGTGTCGTGGGGACCAATGTTCATAAATTTTACCGTTCGGCCGCTGGTGGGCCTTAACAAAGAAAATCTTTGCATGTACAATTTAAATGTATATAGCCGTTATCCTATTAAATGGAAACCTTTATCTTAAATAATGGTAATAATTATATTATCGGGGACTTGACTGCTTAAAAATGTACGTTGTAATCCTCGTTATTATTATATACTAGTTGCTTCTGATGTTGCTACTGTGAATCCTGGGGGAAAGCAAAATTATTAGTATAATTAACAGGCAATAAAATTTCATGATTTATCCTGAAGCAGCCCCAGAAGAACGGTTGAACAGTGATAATTTGACCTGAGTTTAAATCCCGTAAACGGACTGGCTGCATTGGAAATTTCATAGTGTTCCCCGTGCGTAAGGTGCATACGAGTAAGTTTCTCTTAGACAGCCTCCAAGATATCATCCTTCTCTTTAAACTGATAACCTTCGTTTACTTTACCACAATCCATCCGGCAAGTTTTGACTTTTTCCCCACGATGAAATTACTGTTCTAGTCAAAACAGAAAAAACTCGATTGTTAAGACTTTTTAATGGGCTTTTTTTCAATGGTTTAAGAAAGTAGAAAGCAAACTGCTCGTACTATTAGACAAATGAACGTACATATAGAAGATATTATCCTCAGACATAAACTTTGGGATGTATTAGGTTTGATCAACTGAAACCCTTTCGATAGCTGCAACTCCAATATAGTGTAATAAAAAGTATATGTAGTTGCAATGGTATATCATATCATGCAGGGTATATCATAGCATGCAGGGTATAATTCTGTACTTTTGCCTCTGCAGGAATAATAGTTGAAAGTGGCAGTCCGTATAAATTAGCCATGCAAACAAGACCAACGTGCTATCATTTAGTTCTCCATTTTTCGGATTTTGGGGATCTTGAAAAATCCGTCCTGGAACTGAACCCGAAATTTTCACTTTCTAGCTGAGTGTGCTGATTGTTGCATACCATGTATCCATGATTACTATGAAGAGACATTTTTATTCCTAACATACTTCCCCCCCCAAAAAAAAAATCAGATTTCCCAGATATGAGCCCTCCTTATTTAAATAAAAGCTGTTCCGTCAAAAAACGATATAAGCACTTGTGTTCTCATGACAGGCCTATGCAAACGACATGAGTCATCCTTAATTTATATGAAGTTGTTCTGCCAAAGAAAATTATATCTGCACCTGTGTTTTTAGTACAGGCCGGGATTATTATGCATATGAGTGCTATCAAACAGATACATTGCATTTGAAAAAACTATTAGATGCTGATAAGAAAATATCTGTCCTAATGTGCTTCGTAACAGGAAATACCTGCAAATAAAGTTACCAAACAATATCTGTCTCTTTTCGGAATTGTCAACATACTTTCAGCTGCAGTTCTAATAACAATCACTACAGTGTATTTCTTATAACTGTAAATATGAACTGGTGCCCGTAATTGGGGGATTTGCAGTTGTAAGCATTTCTTTAAGATAACGTCCCCCTAAAACATCGCTCATACTTGCGTCATGCTAATTAAGTTTCTTAAGCATGAATCAGTTCTTATGCAGGGTTAAATAGTTAATATATGGCATTATCAAATTTATTAGTGTGAAACCGGACTGACCGTGAGAGTGGGTTCTTTTCCTGTGGCTCTTAAGACGGGATTCCTCCAAGTCTCCACCACTTCAGTGTATCCCGGATTGTCCTCGTCCACAAGCTTAAACCCCGTGATATTGGTGCCACCGTACTGAAAATCCTCTAAATCCACAGTATGGAGATCCTTAAAGGAAAAAAAAAAAAAAAACACAAATATTAAAAAGCTTCGCTCTGAATGCTGAAATTTGAAAATTAGATAACAATAATTTCTAAACGGGAATTCCTTATACAAGCTGAATCCATTTAGTGCAGGATGAGAAAGAACTACGTACAAATTATATTGTCAATCAGAATCAATATGCTGGAACTTGATGGATAAATTTTGCGAATATTCAACTTCGTGCTGAGAATTTAATTTGAAAGGTATACCTTTTCTGAGTTTTCTTTTAAAGCTTAATCATATTCTGTTACAAATTTTAAGCAGAACCAATCTAATCTGGGTGAAGAATTGCTTTCATATGTTGTGTGTATACGAACAAAGCAAGAAAAGTTAATCCTGATGACTTAAATAATAAATTTTAATCAAAAAATCCAGAAAACGAACTTAGTCATTTATCTCAATGCGAAAAGCAAACGAATTATTTATTTTCCGTCCCATAATTTTAGAGACATTAGGATTAATTGGAGCCGGAGAGATGAAAAATTAGCAAACGCCTTCCCCGGGAATCGAACCACGGACCTCTGGAATACCGGCCCAGCATGCAGAACCACTACACCACAAAGGCAGACTAGGAAGGCGGGAGAAGTACCTTATATAATAGTAATTAATACTCCGATACTGTATATATACGGTAGATTTAAAAAGATCAATTGAATTGATCAACTGAATTTTGATCTGTGCTAATATTACTGCGTGCATACATATTCATAGCAGATTGAATGCCTACAGATCTGATGATAGCTTGATGAAATTTATTTTATCCATAGGAACACTTAAGAGTTCTGGAACTTTCCACAAAAATAGTGTACAGCTCTTCACATTATCGCAGAGTACAGTCAGTAGTTATACTTCAATCTTCTAAGAACGTTAAACACAACACAATGCAAAGGTCACCTAAAGAGGAAGCTCATACAGAGATATTTCAATACTCGGAACTTACTGTAAACTAAACAACTGAGAAATTGGTCCTCTCTCCGATCTTAAATAGTTTTTCCCCCGGCCACCGAGAAATCCCTAGAGTAGAGAAGAAATCTCTAGAGTTCCAGTAGTTTCGAGTATCTTCTCGAAATTACTGGAAGGTATATGAATACGGTTATAGATACACAGAGAATCAATTACAATACCCATTATAGTTATACAGGGGCCGAACCAAAACTTCGTCGAGTGGTTGCCGGATTTGGCGACAAAAAATAGTTCCCTATACCAACGCCAGGGTGGGGATGTCTTGCCGATTTAGCGAGATAGTCATCTACTCAATGCTAAATAGACTTGCCCTATATTCTTAATTTTCGGGCAACGCTTTGATTTTGATTTTCATGTTACATTATTTTATTAAAAAAAAAAGTTTTACATATAATTTCACTAAATTTATTTACGTATATGCAAAATTCGTAACAATATAATACAAAGTTTAAAATATATACTTCTTTTTGCATCAAGAATAAGAAATGCAGAGAAAGGCTAAATTAAAAAGAATGATTATTATTTTCCTGCCACCGCTCGCGCTGTTATGAGCACTGTTTACTTGATCTCATCTTATAATTGCAGTTATTTAATGATGATGAACATTTTTCGAAAAGATAATAATGCTATTTTCTTAATATTGAATATTCGTAGTAACCAGCATTCTCTTGTTAAATATTAAATATTGATTCAGGATTAAATAATGCTTACCAAAGAAGTGATGAAGTAATTGTGATATTCAGACATCATATCCACTTGCTGAGCCTTGAGACGGAAAAGCATGAAATCAGTATCAAACGAATAGTAAACAATTAATATAAAGAGTTATTAAAAATAATGCATCGAGCTTTAAAATATTATATATCGCAAAATATTTCAAATAAATCTTTCAAATTTCTGTCATAATTTAAGAGATATGTTCCTCTTACTACAAGATGCACTCTTCTGTCCATACGCGTTGTAACACTTCCCATCTGATGGCCTTCATAGCAGTTGTAATGCGGTTGGGAAGATTCTATAATATTGGTGGAAATGGGGGCACATAAAGATTGTCTTTAACTTTCCTCCAAATGAAATCATCAGCGAGCGTGAAGTCAGAAGACTTTAGCGGAACAACCCTAAACACTCCTCCCTGCATTGACTAATCCAACGCTTGGCCATACAGGGCACTTACCTTTACATAGGCAACCACATGAGCAGTTCAACAATAGCAAAGTGCAGAGTAACAATGGATATACACTGCGCATACATTAAACATAAAACGCTTCTCGTTGTAAACTCACCACCTTTAAGAATATGTGTGACGCATAGGAGGATAATTATGGGGCTTTAAAATCCGAATGAAGCGTCTGTAATAAATTTCCATTATTCTTGATATAGGAAGTACTATATGATTTTCAATACATTGTTGTATTCTTAAAGATTCTACTTGGGAATTTTTTGGAAGTTAATTCATGTTAATCATTGAATTTTATATGTAAACAATACTCATTTTTCAAAAGAAAACCCTCAGAACTAACGGACTATAATGTGTAAGTTTTTATTCTTATTTTTCATTTCATGTGTCATTAGACATGTTTTCTGAATAACTTAGAGCGATAATCGTTGAGGAATTCAATACGATTACTTTTGTTTGTGTTTATGTGTTTGCATGAATACTGCATAGCAGGCATGGGCTGACTACCTAAGCAAAGAATTTCCTTCATAGAATTATCTCTGCCCTTAGATAGATAACTCATATGAGTTTTTAATAGAAACCATCTTTTACTCAACTTACACTAGAAGAAATTTCTGGAAACAGTCCTACAACTGGGGCGTTCGTTAATATACGAGCTTGAAAGGTTATCTTTAAAAAAAATTTAGTTTATTTCTTCTTCATAAACGTTATACGTATGTCCAGATCAGGAGTTCTCAACCATGAGGAAATTCACCCTAGGGATAGAATTTCATAGTTTTAGGGAGGATGAGATCAGCATTTTATTTGCCTGTTAAATATTTAGTTTTAGTTTATGAATGTAAAAAGCTACTTTTATTCGAGTTTTGGTATTTATCAAAATTATCTACATAATTTCTTGTTTAATTTACAAAACGCATTAAAAATTAATCTAAATTAAAATAAACTTATATATATATTTCATGTTTTAGAAAGAAGAGAGAGGAGTCATCGTTTAGCAGAGATGAAAGGGGTACATGGGGCAAAAAAGATTGAGAACCACTGTTCGAAAAAACACAATTATATAAACATATTTGCCTTATAACTAAATAAGAAAAGAGTAAAATCGAAAAAAGTAAAATACATATTTCATTCAACTTAATTATCAAGAACTGATTTATTATTTTTAAATTGCACAATTTGTTAAGCAACTGTGGTTTCAAAGATAAATTAAAGACATCATACACTGAAATGCTATTGAATTAAGGATGGAATGCGAATTATGCGAATATCGTAGTTTTGCTGTCTCATTTCTGTACATTAGTGAATATACACTACTAGGATATAAATTCCCTTTCTTTATATTACTTCTTTACATTACTGGATATACTCCTGCAGCAACCGTTAAAAGTAATATCATTTGGAATCATCATTGGTAAGCTTACGATTTACAAACTCCCATTAAAAAGAATAATAAGTTCACGACTGGCAGCGAGTAGCAAGCGTGAATAGTCTCGATTCCGACTGCATTCACACTGGTGGCAGACTTCGAATATCGCACCAGATCTATAAAGCTAGGAATCCAACATGCCAAGTTGAAACTGTAAAAGATTTGTTTGCTCTGAGATGGTCTGAGATGTTTTCTTTCGGCAATAATTGAAATCTTTGGTACTTGTACCAAGCAGCATCATTGCATCTAAGTACGTAGATTACCAATTGCGTCTCTCCATGCCTTTTTGTCAACTGGACCGAAATAGAATATATTAGGAAGACAATTGCTCCTTCCACAGATCTTGATTGCATACTACCTGTTCGAACAGCATTTCAATGAATTCTTTCTACTGAAATGACCACCTTGTAGTTTTCAATCCTATTGAACCCTTTTGAAATACTCTGAAAATTATTGTGCAAACATGTTATTCATCACCAAAGTCCTCAACTGATTTATAGAAAATTTTAGAAGACATATAGCAGGCTATACTTTTGGAACATTTTCATGGAGTTCTCTTTCATATTTCTTCATGATGGAGGCAGTAACTCGTTACTAATCAGATACTTTATGTAAGAAGCAGTAACTTGTTACTAATCAGATACTTCGTATAATAAGCAGTCACTCGTTACTATACTTCGTGTCGTGTAAGAAGCAATAGCTCTTTACTAATCAGGTACCAATAATTCAGTGCCATTTCAATGCATCATGTCGAATGACAACGTATTGGGAACTGTTTATTTACCATGCCACGCAGAAGATAAATGACATGATAGCGTGTGATAACATAAAGGTAATAAAATGATGTGGAGCGATTTCACTAAAGACATTTATAGTATAAAAAAGCAACGTTTGCCAAGAACAGAAGTATCAAAGAAAATGTATTAAATTAAGATGAACTAAATAACATCAAATAAATTGCAATTACATCGTTGTCCTTCAATCATGATATCGTTTAATATGCTCGTTAATGAGCGGCAATTACTCGGAGCGTTATGAAAAATATCGGAAATTTTAACAACTATCATAAACTGACAAGCAGTATGTAAAAACTTGGGTAATAAAATTGCTTACATGCTTCAGCACAGTTTGTACATTCTTGGTAGGTACATCAATGACGATATTCTTAATCCCAGCCCTTCCTAGCTCTTTTAATAATTTCCTGTATTCTTGATGTGGTAAGAACTGTCTGACAACGACTTGCCTTTGTCTGATAAAAGGATCTTTTAAAAGTTCTTGAAGACGTATCAGAGCTATGGGTAAAAGAAAAAAAAGTAATATATTCCTTACCTTTTAAATTCTGTTTCATATAATAAAAGAACACACTAAAGAGTTAAATGTTATAGGCAACAATAATAAGCAACAAGATTTGGTAAATTACTAACAGGAGTTTAGGAATTTATTTACGTTACGCTGATTCTTGCTGCTTATTACTGGTCTCTTTAACACTCTCGCTACCCTATCATTGGTATATTGGATGAGTCAGAAATATGGCTATGCTTTTGATCTTCTCACATGATTTCAGTAATTGGCTACAAAAATTTGAGATAGTGGGATTGGAAAGGCATATCCTGAAACTGGAAAACAATACCTAGCAGAGGAAAATGTTGAGAAGCAAGTCAAAACTGACTCTTAAGAGAACCAATGATGAAAGGTTTAGACCTGAAGGAATTATGATAAGTTTTCGTAGAGTCAAATACACAATGATTTCAACCAGAATCATGTTAGCGCTTTTTCCCGTGGTCTATTCATGAACTTTTCAATGATCATTCCAGAAAGTTCTCTTTTCTGAAAATTTCCATGTTGTAAGCAGCCATTTTCACCAGTCTTTCACAGTCGACGGCAAAATGCTACTTTAAAATGACATCTGCTCAGTTTCATGGCTTCGCTACCATTTGGAATGTAGTCGGTTCCTTCAGCAATTATGTGCTTCAGTTCCGTCTTAGTTAATGAATGTTAAGCGCGAGCACGTGACTTTTATTTGAAATGGGAAAAAATGAAATTTCAAATTTAATATAACATTTACCACTTTACAATAGGCAATATACCGTTAACATCCTGTATTTACTTTAACGTGTAGCCAAATTTCTGACTCGCACTATTAGTCACTATAGTTTCTTCTATTCACGCTGGTGACACAAAAATGTAAACGGGGAAAATAAAAACAAGTAAAATAAAATGCTAAAGATTATACTTTTTGCAAATAATTTTCAAGCATAAATCGTAACTCTCCCTTTCCTCCTAAAAAAGGAAATGTGGTGATTCTGTTCCGCAATATATTATTTATTATAATAATCTGTAAGTGTTCATAAATCTTTTCAGTTGCACGTATTATTAATCAATATTTTAATTTATATCAACTAGATGTAATATTAAGAAATAACGGTTTAAATTATATAGCGAACTGATTACGGCTGAAAGACAAAATTAAACACACTACGAATTAGCAGTCTGCGAAGGTACGCGGAAAATAAATGGCAGGTCTTGCCAAGTCGATTGGATAATAAATGTATTGCAAAGTAACATAACAATTCGAAATTTTTAAAAATATTGGGCTAAAAATACTTTTGACATAAATTATATTTAATATCAAAATTAATTTCGTGGAAATGAACAATACTGATTATTAGAAGATGGATCTCTGATCACTCTCAAGTTCCATACAGTTTTATTCAAAATATGCGTCAAAATCGGGGGGAAAAGCCTAATTTTAGATGTTATGTTAGCGTGGTTTTTTTTTTTTTTTTTTTTTTTTTTTTTTCATTTAAAAGATGATTATGATTGACTTCGCTCTGGAGATGTTTATAATCATAGACTCTCTATCAACAATATGTATATTATATAGTTACTTCATGAATACTTTTTACTCACATTTAATAAAAACCATTATTCATTTCACTGTTAAAGGCTTAGTTTCGTGTCAGGTACACACAAGGAAAAGAAACACTAGTATAAAATGTAAAATAAAGAAATGTAGGAGAGACTTTTAACATCTATGCCAATTTAAAATTGATTTTTGCCTGATTTTAGAAATACATGTCCATTTAGGTAATATTTTAAAGAATATTCTGAAAACTAATATATCATTACCATCACTTTCTTCGTACACAATGGCGAATTTCTTCCATTCTTTTGCTTTCACGAAGTCTAAGTATGCTTTTCCGAGAGCAGTAGGATGTGGGAAAAGGTTGATGGAGTGGTTGTCTCTCTTTGTCCTGTAATCCCATCTTGATTCGATATGAGGAACTTCCAGGACGTCGCACGTTGATTGTACAGCAGCGCTACCCTCGCTCGATTGAGGTCCAAACATGGCCGCCATTCCTTCGCTCAGCAAATCACATACTAAAAGAAAACAAAATTTCTTTCTTTCTTTTTTTTTTTTTTTTTTTTTTTTTTTGTGTGAAAATTTTAAAGTAAAAGTTTATTCTTGCCTATAATTTTACAAGTGCAGGCTCAAGTATTAATATGAAGAACACAGTTCTTTACTGTTGACCATCAAGTATAGTCCTTACATGCTGCCTACCTAGAGTTATAGTACCTCAAGCATTACTTTGAAAATGTAGAGTTCGCGGTGTAATGTCTAACGAAACGTATGTGAAATTCTTCTATACAATTGATCACATCAAAGACTTTAGCATGAGACAGTGCATATCACTGTGGTAAACAAAACACATTTTTAATGATGTTTTGATGCGTATTGAATTCATTTAGAGTGTATCGGGCTGCTTGTATTTAAATTATTAATTACAGCAGCATGTATAAAATTGGTTGACGTGATTAGTGTTCCAATTTGAACCCTTTGCTTCTGAGATTTGACAGCAGGCATTCAAGCTTCCCTTTGAATATAAAACAAAAAATAAATTGGGAGTAAACGCAAGTTAGTTTCTGATTAACCAAGGTAATACAAGGAACGACTCCCATGTCTAATTTAAATCAGAGTTTATTTGAGGAATTTAAAAGTTACGAAAAAAGAAGAACCCATATTATAATTAACAGAAAAATACTTTTAACAATCTACCTGCATTTTGAAGCAGCCTAACCTGGAGAATAAGTTCATTTGGCTATGTAAGTTAAAGCAGAATTCAAAATTAAAAGAACACATTAAAATTAAAAGAACAAAATTAAAAGAATAAGGGAAGAGTAAGGACACACAAAATTAAAAAGAACAAAATTAAAAGAACAAGGGAAGAGTAAGGATCATTATGAAAGAAGAATTGGATTTATAAATCGCATTAAAGAATAGTATTTACAAGAGAACTTGAATAAAACTGCTCGACTACTGAATTCAAACTCGTGTAAAAGGCCGGTTAGGTACAGTTTGGTTTTCGGCAAAATCGGTTCTTTTCTTCTTTTCTTTTTTTTTTTTTTTTTTTTCAATCAACTATCTTATTTTTCAGATTCATCTATGTCTATATATCTGGTTACAGCCGAAAACATCGCGGCAAAAACATCGCGGACGAAAACGTCGCGGAGAAAACAACGCAAGGCGAAAACGTCGTGCTACAAAACATCGTGGGAGAAAACATCGCAGTCCTAAAACATCGTGGTACAAAACATCGTCGTCGAAAATAAAGCGGTTCAAAAACTTCGCAGTTTAAAAACATCGTCGTCGAAAATATCGTGGTAAAAAATAAAGTATCTACAAATCATCTCATGACGATAACATCGCAGACATGCTTTTTTCATACATGCGTTAATAACTGTAAATGGATATTCGCATAATGATTTGTGAGCGCAAAATGGAAAGAAGGATAATTTTTACTTTCACATTTTTTTATTAACTAATAAGTTTTTTCTGAAAAAATAAGAAGGAAACTTAAGCATAGCAAATTAATGCAACTTATAGCAATTAATAGAATTTTAAACTGACATAGTTAACTAACAAAGGCCATTAATAAATCATTTTTTATAAAGTTTTTACTGGTAATTTTTCATGAAAAGTATAATCTATAATTTGCATTTAATTTTCTATGCTTAAGTTTCCTTCTTACTTTTTCAGAAAAAAATTATTAGTTAATAAAAATGTGAAAATAAAAATTATCCTTCTTTACATTTTGCGCTCACAAATCTTTATGGGAATATTCATTTACAGTTATTAAAGCATGTATGGAAAAAGCATGTCTGCGATGTTATCGTCATGCGATGATTTGTAGCTACTTTATTTTTTACCACGATATTTCGACGACGATGTTTTTAAACTGCGAAGTTTTTGAACCGCTTTATTTTCGACGACGATGGTTTTGTACCACGATGTTTTAGGACTGCGATGTTTTCTCTTTGCGATGTTTTCTCCCACGATGTTTTGTAGCACGATGTTTTTGCCTTGCGTTGTTTTCTCCGCGATGTTTTCGTCCGCGATGTTTTTGCCGCGATGTTATCGGCGGACACCATATATCTGACATTATATACAGTTAAACTGCGTACTGTTTGGGATTGGGAAAATAAAAAGAAAATTTTTTTTGAAAAAACTCTCAAATTCTATGACATCATCTTCTATCAGTGCTGTTATCCGACATATTTTTCTTTTCCTTTTTATAATTCCTATAAATAGTTTTGTTCGGTGCTGATAATTTGTGATGGCAATTTTTCTCTCATTCCGGGATAAATTTTCTTCAAGGACGGGATCCGCATAATCAGAAATTTCGCCAAGCCCGAAAACATGTTTTTTGCCCTGTGTTCGATTTTATATGAACTATCCTTGGAAGTTTAACGTCAACTGAATAAGAATTTAACGCTCTTGAAAAGAATAATAAACGAAACACATGCAAATAAGTAACCACAAATTCAAGATTAAACAAAATAAACCTGAGGTACAGTGTATCATGTAATCATGATACCAAATCATGATTACAGGATACTCTATACCTAATCATGATACAAAATATAATAAATTGATATGATACAAAATATAACAATTGGTATGTAATCATGATACAAAATATAATAAATAAACAAATAAAAACGATGCACAATAAAATAAAAACGCGCAAAAATCAATTTACAAACAAATAATACAAATATCTTCAAAAATTTGTAGTATTATTGACTCATTCATTCGGTTTATGAAGCATGAAAAATTGTTTACTTCGGCTGTAGCCAGCTCATATTCGCCAAAGCGCAGGGGAAGTGACTAGTTATTCTGCGAAGTCGATACTTCGGCTTAGGACGTTAAGGTGAGTTTTTGGTTTCAAAAGTCTTGATTGTATCGTAACCATATAGAAAGAAAAACTAAAACCTTTACTGATAACAAAATTTATAGCTTCAATAGGCAGTTACAAACCGAAAGCTCAAAGTAGAAAACTGTTGTAATTCATCTTATTAGATACGTGTTTACTCTTAAAAGTTTAACGGAATTTAACAAATAAGCATATTATTTAGAATATGGAATTGTACCTTTTCTAGCTGCTTGAAAGCTGTCGTGGCGTTCCACTCGTTCTAACTGTGGAGTGAGTCTTGAATTGGGTAGGAGTCTAGGATCGGTGTTGACACGTTCCACCGCGTACTTGAAAGCTGTCTCCAGCATCTCATCTCCAGATTCGAACAGGCCACCTTCAATTTAAAAGAAATTAGTGATTTATTATTATTTTCGTTAGGTCGTGGAGAAAGGACCGTGTTAATAAGAGACCAACAAGTAGGATTTAGGATTTATCTAAATATTGTAATACGGCAGATGGACTAAATGCTAAAGAAGACAAAAATTAGCCACACAAATTGATTAAAGTAAGTAAAATGTACAGTGTTATAGTTCTATGGCCAACCAATGGATCAGTGGACAGGTTTGCTGAATACTGGTTGTTTGGTCGGATTCGAATCCTGGGAGGCGTGCTGCATGCATGGTTGTTTTTGTGATTTTTTTCTCATGTGTTACGTGAAAACGAGGAATTTTCTTCTAGAAAATCATTCATGATAGCTATATATCTCCTCTCAGGCATATACTCGTTATATGCTTTGCCATTACCGACTAAACAAATTAGAGTTTTTGAAATTTATATTCTTTTGCTGCTAATGTGAAAGTGACACGAAGAGAAACATGTAGTCACCTGCAAACCCAGCGAATCTTCAAAAATTTCTAGCAGGATATGAAACCTTTCACGCTTAGTTCGAACACCTCTGCAATACTAAATCGGTGAAACGCTTTAGTATTGCAGAGGTTGCACGTTGAGTTTCAAAAGTGCCAAACTGTTCTCTTGCAAAAACAAAATTAATGCTTACTTTTTATATCAAGTGAAAGAAGCGAAGTTAAAAACCAAATCTGAATAAAAAAAATAATAATAAATGAGCCTCTATAAAACGGTACCCAGGGTTATAGATTGACAGTTCACGCTAAAACTGGGGAAAAAATTGCAATCCGATTTTTTATACTTCAGTGTAACACCTGAAAGCTGACATAAATTTACTTCATTACAGGGCGACACGTGCATTCAGATAACTGAAATTGACTTTGCGTACGGAAGAATGAGTTAGAAATGAAAAACTGAAATCGAAGATTATGTTGAGCTCTCAAAATGTTGAGCATGAAGATTATGTTGAGCACTTAATAACACACTCAAAATAAATACAACAGGCGTTATTAAAACACAGCAGGCGTTATTTAATAACTGAGATAGAATTCATTGTTGTTTTATGAATAATGTTACATAGAATTATACAAGTTTAGTTCTGGCTGCAGGTAGTTTGAAGGAAAATATCGGGCAACGATTCAGCTACCATTCACATTTTAAGTTTCAAGTTATTCTTTTATCTAAGGGAAACGGGAAAGGACCTTCGATACGTCATATTTACGTTGAGGAATCTAACGTGTGACAGTGAAAAAAACAGAAAAATATACATCAAGAAACCAACAGGAAGGCATTTTGTGGAAAAGCAGCTAAGTAACCGCAGCTAAAAGATAATTCTTTATCGCATGTGAATGAGAAAAGAAATTCTGACTATGCTGTAACTGTTGATATAATTTAAAATGATTTCGATAAGAATGTTTTTAAAAAATGTTTTGGAATAAAAAGTTTGGGAAACGGCCTCTTATTTGAATTGAGAAATATCGTTTGTTATTTTTAAATTTATACTTCTTTAAAAATGTCTCATGTAGACAAGGGATGGATTGAAGGCTATGATTTTGCGCATTCTGAAGGGAAATATTCTTATTCCATAATTCAAAAACATTATAAAAGGTATATAGTATTAAAATTTCCAAGTGCAAAATAAGTAACAAATCAGAAAGGCAAAAGCCGTCTGTCATTACTTATGGAAAGAAGTTTCCAAACGAATACCCGAAAAATGTGCTCACTGTGTCTAATGTTTCTAAAGTTAAAATATCGGTAACAAAAGGAAAATCCGCCGATGCAGAAATCAATGGCAAAGTCCTGAAGGACACCTGTAGCAACAAGAGAAAAAATAATAAACCAAAATTACAAGTTACAAAAGCTATAATGGTCACCAGCTTTTGCAGACGCATTTGACTCAATACAAAACAATTTGTAGAATCCTGTATAAAAACTATTTAACGGGATATAAATGGAAATATATTTTGACCCTCGATGAAGTGTGGGTTTAACTAAATAACTGCAACAACAAACAAAGGGAAAAAAATTAAAAAAAAAGATTATTTATTTTCGAAAAAGAACAGAAAAGAATGTGCAGACCTGGTTACATTATTGCAAAGAAAGTTTCAGTGAGATGTTTAGGATTGTCGCAGGATTCCCTTATAAAGGCAAATTAAAAATAAGAAGAGTGAGAAAACTTTTAAAATCAACCCAAATTTAATTTCAAATTGGGTTTTTAATTTTAATTGTCAAAATTTTATGTCTAGTATTTATAGAAGGAATTCCATTTCTTTATTCCAATGACTTTCCAAGAGTGAAATTTCTTCAAGACAAAGTAACAAGTCATATTTCCGAAAGTACCACTGCATTCCTTGAAAAAGGGGAGATTAATACACGCATTACATACGTAACGTTTCAACGCATTCCTGCAAAGTCCCCGATCTTTCATCTGTAGACTATTGTTCTTTGACTTCTCGAAAAAGTTCTTTCTAACAGCAAACCCACCATAATTTAGGGACTCTGGAAAGTAGTGGAAGAGGAGTGGAAATCAATACCCCTTGAAATTTACCTTCTGTCATGGAAATCACGACGCAGATTTCCAGTCCAGAATAAAGATTCTCGGATCAAATATTTAAAAAAAGTGCTCTTTTCATTTTCAACTTTAATTAAACGGCCCCGAAATCATCCAAAAAAATGTGTAAACACCCTATATGCTTCCGAGCTTTATGATAAAGCTGCTCGGATGGTGGTTTCACATCCCCAAAATGAAAAAATTTTGTAGATGGCGGAGAGACGATAAGCGGTTGGGAATGGAGATTTTTACTTCCTTGTACGAAGTAAAAAGGAAGTATTGTAATCGCGAAAGTTTCAGGCAGCATATTTCAACGGAAATATCCATTTTGACCGCTATCGAATGCAATTTAACGATGTTTTTGCGTGATATCTGTACGTAAGGACAGAATAAAAGACTCGTTTTCTCCAAAAAAATTATAAAACTGCTTTAAAACTAATTCTGAAGAGAATTTTTGGTGGCGTCTGTACGAACGTATCTCGCATAACTCAAAAACGAGTAGCCTCAGAACGTTGAAATTTTGCATATAGGACTGCTATAACATGTAGATGTGCACCTCGTATTTTGGTTGCAATCGGCCGCACAAAACGTATATGAATATATTTATATAGATATCCACTCTGTTACCCGGCTCAGTGATCTCAGTTCCTTTCCTCTTATATGTTTGTAAATTGTACATTTTTTTGCTTTAAAAATGATTGAATTATGTTGTTTTTATCTTCCAGTTAAGGTTTTTATGCCTTTAGTAAATCTGTATGCAATATTTTTAGAATTATCAACACTTTTAAAGTTGTTTAAGTGCCGCTAAGCCTTTTTTTTTATGGCGGCCATTGATTGTTTACATTTGAAACAGCAGACTAGTGGATTTGTTGCCAATCTAGAGAAACTTAGCTTCGCAACAACAAAGATAACGTGTTCATTTATTATTGCCAATTAAATCATGCTTAATCATTTCTGGAATTTTTTCGAGGAAATAAGTGTTTAAGATTTACTTCGTAATTTTTAATATAGATATTTTGAGTTTTTATGTATTTTTGCCTTCTCGCGAAGTGAATTAATTGAATGAGAAATACTCTCCGCGAAATACTCGTCTGTGAAAAACTGTTTCTTTTTTGCTTTGTTTGCTTAATTTCTTTTATACATCATTCTAGATTTATTATAGTATTTGAATAGAACATGTGGCAACGATTAGATAATTCTATTCTTTAAATGATATAAATTTTGTGCATTATGAGTTATAATATGAACGAAATATAATACTGTTAAGTGAATCTAGCGCCAGAGTGTCGCTATGGTAAACAAATACTAGAGTGAATTTTAAAGAATTCATTTAATGTATTGTGGTTTATGCGCTGTCGGCGAAGTAGATTTAATTCAATCCTACAAGTTTAAATGAAATGCAAGAAAAAATGCGTATAATTTAATATTCCGTACAAGGAAGTCATGTGGTGTACACATCAGAATTTTTTTTAATGAGAGGTAAAAATCAAAGGTGGAATTTGTACAAGCGAGAATACGGTAATTGAATATTTAGAAATCTGGGAACCACATATTTAAAGGAAGCTGAAACTTTGTTTTTTGCTAAAACGCTTAACTACGACCATACCAGCTCTTGAAATTTATTTTTGAATGTTCAAGTTTCAATGCCCAGGAAGTATTTTTGAGAGCTTCTTTATTGTAAGTATAACAAATAATATTTTTACTGAAGCAACAGAGATGCGAAACTCTGGCTAGTGATTTTCAAATTTTGCTTCTCGGAATATTGCAGTTCTCCTAATTTCTCCAAGAGTTCTGCAAGTTAAAAATCAAAATGCGGAACATATTATTGATACGTAGACTGCAAACATAACTTCCTAAAATAAATAATTAAATACATTTCTATTGTTATTATGGTTATCTGAGATAATACAAAGTAAATCTCTTTGTATGAGTAAACTTACAATAAAATAATGCTTTTAGCCCAAGGGGGCAATTTTTCCAGAAGAGCTATTAATTTCGCTTAGGCATTTTCCGTTGGTTCACTATAAACGGCGTATCACTTTTCAAATTCTTGCCACCAAATATTATATTTATTTAAAGAAATTAAATAATGAAGAATCTGCATGAATGTCTGTATGTTTCTCGCACTGTGAAAAAACAATGGTACCTAGAGATATCAAATTCTGAATAACGTATTTCTCCATTCGAGTATGGGCATCTGGAAGCCCAAATTTGAAATTTGAAATACTTAGGATCTGCGCTAAAATCTTGAGTTTCGCGGAACATAGTTCGAAGAATACTAATCTATTCTTATATATAAACTTTTAACCTAAATAATTTCATTTTTCAGTTTTATTGAATAAAAGTGAGTTGTGAATTTTATTTAATATAAGCAAAATTATTTTATTATATTTCAGCATAAAATGCTCGTTGAAAAATTAAAATTTCCTTCTTTGCGTTAAAGTAAATAAACATTTGGTTTGCAGAAAAGGACAACTCAGTTATGCAAATGGAGTTTGGTCCCAGTTGATTTGAATAATGAAAAAGATAAAGCAGTATGATATATATTTTTCAACTCAGTTCTCAGGTCCAAATTGGCCAGTGCCAGTATTTTCTATTAAATTTGGCATTTTTCGTAAAATTTTAGTGTTCTGTTTAGTTCACCATCAAATTTAGTACTATGTTCCTTCCGAGCGATAGCAATAAAATAATTTGAGAGAATTAAACATTTCAATTTATATCTATCTCTCCAAAGAGTATAAGATTGTATTTACCAAGCCAAATCAATTTTAAGTGTGTTACCAAATATATTAATTAATGAGAACTTTTAAAGGTATTTAAATGCAAAAAGCAGGTTGTTGCAATATGAATTGCTTTGAAGCTTCCTAATCCTATTGCTAAAAATAATTATGAATATCTTGATATAGAAAATGGAATCAGTTGAGGATTAGAAGGCACTGGTGAAAAACAGAGCTCTTGAATTCAAATTGTTATAGAATAAATCGAAAATGCTGTACAAGAATAAATGTTGGAACAGACAGTTCGAAACTTCTATGCATTTTCTAAAATTCGAACACTCGCTCACTATCATTTTAATCAGATTCCCTAACAATTCTATCGAACAAGGCGACAGTTAATGTAAGCTGTATTTTACCTTCCTCCTTCTTCAGCAGGTTACAGAATGAAAGAATATCTTCATCAGTGAATAAGAATAAACAGTGAATAAGAAATAAACTACCTCCTTTTAATGTCTTTTTTTAATAAAAGAAAAAAAGAAGGTTTATCAATGACAGATTTTAATAGCAAACTCTTCTAAAAATAATAAATAAATACCCTCATTGATTTTCCTTTACATGAGAATATATGTAATTAGCACATTAAATAAAGGAAATATCCATAACAAATTGCATATGGAAAAACTAAATTTTTAAAAAGGGCAATATCTTAAATTTCCTTTAAAAGTATGCAACAAAAGTAAATGTAAAGATACTGCATTTTTTTAAAATTTAAGTTTGTACAAAATAATTTTGCTGCATGGTAAACCTGACTCAAGCCTCAAAATGGGCACAAAAATGCATATAAATTTTAAAATAGTAGTTTAACTTCAGAAGAAACGAAACCCATTTATCTGAGTTTTCCGGTTATCCAGATAAGCTATAATCTCAGTCAATAAAACTAAAGTTCTGTTATATACGAATAAATGCTTTTACAGATATACGAAAATAAACTACTTACCCACTTTGATAATCTCTGGCAGAGAGTTAACAGCCGCGCTCAGAATAAAACAAATGATGAATTTTAAGAATAGCTGTGCTATATCCTTCGGTAAAATTACCATGATGGCGTATTTAGCGGATGCGTGAATAATGTTTTGTTTCTGTCATCTGAATTTAGAAACGTTTTTTCAGAAAATTATCGTAATTCGAAATCATTATGCATTCCAAGTCTGTGCATATGAAATACTTGTCTAAAATCCCATGTGGCGAATTAGACAACAAAAAGATAATGTCTTCCATCAGGTTCTTGCATATTAATTGCAGAAACGAACAATTTTTCCTTTACTTTTGAGATTAATTGTGAGTACAAGTATCTCAAAATTATGACAGATGTGTATCATTAAGAGTCATTAAAAACCAATTAACTGCCTGTAATTGTCAGCAAGAGGATAGCAGAGCATTATGTCCACTGTCCAAGTTGTTGATACCATCCAGCAATCAGCGCTGCAACCCCATTGATTCGGATTGCCCAATAACAGATCTAGGCAGAGGTCACAGACGGCGATGATGATTATGATCTGGATAAATATAAATCCTCCGCAATCTTTCTCTGCTCCAAGATTTGTTGAGATTCATCTTTAATGCCAGAATGATGCATCCAGGATACAGTAAAGGACACGATTATCGATTACATCCCCAGCATCCTCTTTCCTCCGGTTGCCATGGTTACCGGATCGTTACCACTTCCGCGAGGGTTGCCTTACTCTTTATGTCCGAGAAAGATTAAAAGTTTCTTTCGAACTCTTTTACGGGAAAGTCAGTTTGCGATATGTTTACTCCTCTTCTATTTATGGAACTTTTTGTTCTTACTTCTGGAATTTATTGCATCGTTGCATAAATGGCAGTAGATGTATGTAGCGATGCTACAAAATATAGTTCTCAGACTGCATTCCATGAACCTTTTCATTGCTTTAGCTAAAAATTTAGATTTTCATTTTTATTATTTTATTTCATAATAATTTTATTCGAAGAAGTTGTTATCGTTTCCACTGCCTAAATTTGGTACCCTTAGCAAAATAGAAACTTCTGCCATTTCCTTTCTAAAATATTTATTACCGCACATGAAACTCTCCTTATGATTTTTCGCCACATTGCTGTTATTATTATTTAACATCCGTGTGACCAAAGAGCCTATTTATCTTAATCGCTTTCTTATTTGCTTTTACTTTTATTTTGTCTTATTAAACATATAAAATATCTAAAACCGTATAAAATTTGGAATACAAAGGTATCTGTTCTCTACCTAGCCCACTAGTTAGCGTGCTAGTTTCGGAGTCAAAAAACTGGGATATCGACTCCAGCTACTACTTCACCATTAATTCTACCGATCTCACTCCTTGTTCGAATCGGTCCCACCAGCGGCCGAGCGGTAAAGTCGCTAAATACTTGTAGTTCGGTCCGAGGTTCGAATCTCGCGAACGGGCTGGCTGCATGGGCGTTTTCGTGGTTTTCCCCATGTGTAACGTGTATACAAGCCAGTTTCCATTAGAAAGTCCTCCACGAAGGCCTCCCTCCCCTTAAGCAGATAGCCCTAGTGTGCTTTAACATAATTAAATACACCAACACCAACCTTGTTCGATTCTTTCTGCTTTACTCATTTCTTTGCATGCCGCTCTTGATCCATTCCCGTTCCGAGCGTATTCAGCAAGTTCATTGTTAATGAGCGGTGAATCATAAAAAAGAACTGTTTCACTTCAGTGAGCGAACGTTTCTATCTGATTCCTTAAAGGAGCTGTTTTGCCTATCTCGATGATGTACCATGGGGATGTAGAAGAGGGTACAAAGCATGTGAATAATGTATGCTAAATGCTTCAACTGAAGGTGTTGCATAGTATATTCAGTTTGAACAACATCGATTTGCAGTCACAGTGTTACACTTAAATAGATAATATTTCAACGACGTTACCTGAGCTCGCATCATTGGAAAATTGAAAGAAGGTCAACGTGTGATAAGTGCGGCCAATAATACCGGGATTGCACATAGCATTATGTCAGGAGTTTGGACTACAGTTGAAAAAAGCTGATAGGTACACCACACGATTTCCTTGCACGGAATATTAAATTATATGCATTTTTTCTTGCATTACATTTAAACTTATTGGGTTGAATTAAATCTACTTCGTCGATAGCGCATAAACCACAATAGAATAAATGCACTCTTTAAAATTCACTATATTTGTTTACCATTGCGACACTTTGACTCTAGGTACACTTAACAGCGTTACATTTCTCATATTATAACTCAGAATGCACAAAATTTATATCATTTGAAGAATTAGCTAATCGTTGCCACATGTTCTATTCAAATACTATAATAAACTAAAACCATGCATAAAAGAAATTAAGTAAATAAAACAAAAAAAGAAACAGTTTTTCACAGACGATTCAGTATTTCTCATTCAATTAATTCAGTTCTCACTTCTCGAACAAGGCAAAAATACATAAAAACTCAAAATATCTATATTAAAAATTACGAAGTAAATCTTAAACACATTATAAGGTATTTCTTCCGCCTTCCTACCGTGCCTTCGTCGTGTAGTGGTTCTGCACGCTGGGCCGGTACGCAGAGGTCCGTGGTTCGATTTCCAGCGAAGGCGTTTGCTCATTTTTTATCTTGCCTGCTTTAAAAAGATACCTAATGTAATGTCTCTACAGTAGCTACAGTGGCTCTACAGTACTAAACGTTTGTTGCATGATGATTCTCCTCACCCAGGATTTGGCGATTGGGTCCCCTAAAAACCCCAGCAGCCCTTTAAAAGGGGGGAGTACATAAGGTATTTCTCCCGCCTTCCTAGCATTCCTTCGTGGTGTAGTGGTTCTGAATGCTGGGCCGGTATTCCAGAGGTTCGTGTTCGATTCCCGGCAAAGGCGTTTGCTCATTTTTCTTCTTGCCTGCTTACCTAATGTCTCTACAGTGGCACCCGAACTAAAAGGGTGGTGGATGATGATTTCTCCCCACCCAGGATTTGGCGATTGGGTCCTCTATGAAACCTCATTCTCCCTTTAAAAGGGGAAGTATATAAGGTATTTCTCTCGCCTTCCTAGCGTGCTTTCGTGGTGTAGTGGTTTTGTACGCTGGGTCGGTATCCAGAGGTCCGTGGTTCGATTCCCGGCGAAGGCGCTTGCTTATTTTTCGTCTTGCCTGCTTTCACAAAAATACCTAATGTCTCTACAACATATTTCCTCGAATAAATTCCAGAATGGATTAAGCATGACTTAATTCACAATAATAAAATAAGGCGTTATCTTTCTTGTTGCGAAGCTTAGTTTCTTTAGATTGGCGACAAATCCGCTATTCCGCCAAATTTCAAATGTAAGCAAACATGCCCGCCAACGCAAAAATTATTAGGCTTAGCCGCACTTAAACAACTTTTAAATTGTTGATAACTCTAAAAATATTGCATGCAGATTTACTAAAGGCATAAAAACCTTAACCGGAAGATAAGGACAGCATAATTCAATCATTTTTAAAGCAAAAAATGCACAATTTACAAACATATAAGAGTAATGAAACTGAGATCACTAAGCCGGGTAACAGATATATATATATATGCGTTTGGTGCGGCCGATTGCAACCAAAATACGAGGTGTACATCTGCATGTTATAGCAGTCCTATATACAAAATTTCAAACTTCTGAGGCTACTCATTTTTGAGTTATGCGAGATACGTACGTACGTACAGACGCCAGGAAAAATTCTCTTCAGAATTCATTTTAAATCAGTTTTACATTTTTTTGGGGGAAAAGAGTCTTTTATTCTGTCCTTACGCACAGATGTCACGCAAAAGCTTCGTTAAATTGTATTCGATAGTGGTCAAAATGGATATTTTCGTTGAAATATGATGCCTGAAACTTTACGAAGTACGAATTACAATACTTCCTTTTTACTTACAAGGAAGTAAAAATGGGAACTGCTTTCTGAAGTTTTAGTACAGGAAACAGGCAGCGAGAAATTTATTTTTGTGGTGCTTTTCTATACCTCTTTCCTTGAAACTTTAAGCACCTTCTTTGTAGCGACCTCTTTCCTTGATGCTTATTCCTAAGCACGTGCTTATTTTGCTTAATGGTTAATCCCACTCTGGCAGTAGTCTTCCCTAAACAACAACGGCAAGATACCCAGAATTGATATTCTGTCCTACAGACGATGAAATATCTATGGAACAGTGGGTGAAATTCCAAGATGCATGCAAAGCGTTACTGTGCATCTAGTATCACGTTTCACTATGGCTACCAAACAATCAGATGATGATTTTTTTCTCTTGGCTACCATTGATGCCTTCTTCTCCGAGGCAGTGTCTTGTGCCAAGTTTCTCCTTCCCACATGCATATTTTCCAGAATTCTTCGCAAACAATAGTGTTACACCTCATAGTACAGCAGCTATTACTGATTGACTGGAGAGCGAAGTTATCTTTGCATGGTTTGGCCTATGCATTCGGAAGTCTACGTATTTCAACTGAGCACGTGGGATGTTAGGTGGAGGCTTCTGATAGCACGTCGCTAGTCGCTATCGATGATTTTGCAACTGCACTCGGCCCTATAAGATGATTGGGACATGATGCTTCAGAAATTCGTCGTACAGAGTTCGAATAGACTAGAGGCAGAATGTATTGTATCGCAGTTAGGTGGGGTAGTAATTCATAATCATTACTTACAAGCAAAAAGTTTTTCTCTGAAAAAGTAGAAAGTAGTATTATAATTTGTCTTCCAAACAAATCATATCTTATCATACTTCAATGCTGTCGAACCTATTTTCATGTAAAATTGGCTTTCTATGCTTCAATACATAGTTTTGATCTTATGGGGGGGCAGGATATGATAATAAATCAAGTGCTGAAGCACGAGTCTTTTATAAGCAATTTTTTTCTATATTCCGAAAGTACAAACTGTTACATCTATTCATAAACAACTAGAATTATCTCTATAATTTTCTATCATTCTCTTTTCAATATTAAATATTAATCATAAATTAAAGCTAAGAAAGCCGACAGTATTTATTTAAAGCGAACAGCTACCCTATAATATATAAAAAGTGTCAAAAAATTTTATGCCTCTATATTAAAATTTTATTTCTTCTAATCATTCGAAAACAATTCCTCATAAAATTTTACTCCAGAGCAGGGGTTTCGACCAGGATCAATGAAATTTAAAAAGAATTATGTTTAAAGGGTCGATAGCGGAATATGCACCGGCAACTGACTGGCATAATCAAGTCCTATTGATTACGAAAAAGAATAAACAAATTCATATTTTATTGTTTATTGGCATAAAGCTTCATGAACTAAGGAAAAAATCAAGTGAAACAATATAAAGGAAAATACACTGAAATTATTTAATATATTTTAATAAATAATTAATGCTTCTGTATGCAATTTGATACAAATATTTAGTTACACATGACAAAATGTCAACTTAATAGGCCAGTTCTAGGAGTGGTGTTGGCACCTGGATACCTGGGCCGAAGGTCCTACCCCGTGTAGAACAGTTTACCTTTCCTAATTATTACAAGAGAGAACTAAAAAGAGATTGTAGCTGACTGAATTTAGAGAGATATAAAAATGATTATATAATTGAACATTGTAAGAAGCGTAGAAGAAAA